TTTACTTTTATAATTTTGGTTATTACGGTGTAAGGTGATAAATTTTTCTCGTTCCAAAATCTTTAAATGGACCCAGCCATAGAGACACGCTGGGCACGATGCTACCAATTTTCCTATGAGTGCTGCCAATTTTTGTACAGAAATTACAGATTTGTTTACTGTATGAGAAAGAAGTTTTAACAAGAGAGACACCTTTTGTTGTGGTAAGGATAATAATAATTCTCGAGAGTCGTATAAAAAAGTACTTGCATTTCTTCATTGGAGTAAAACAACTCTTTTCCATATTTATAATAAATCCTAGAGAAACTAGGATACTTTAGTAAACTGAGAATCAGTGATTGCTGCTTGTTGTGACTTACTTATGATAATATCATCAAGATAAACGACGCATACGTGGCTTCGAAGATATCGTAAGACTGGTTTAAACATTTTTGTGAAAAGGAGCAGTACCGAGTCCAAAAATATGCGTCCTTGAGGTCTATCGTGGTGAAAAAACAATCTTTATAAATTAAGTGTAATACTGTCCTATAATCCTCCATCTTGAAATGGGAGACCTTCAAGAAGGTATTTAATTTTTTTTTTTTGAATATGGGGAAATAAACTGATGGGCCTGTAGCGGAGATTGCACCTATAGAGATTAGTTTAGATAAACTGTCTTCCAATTCTTTTGAGTTAGATGTGTTTCCCCTCCTCCTCCCTTTTGTATCGAGGTTTCAACGAACCTTGGCCGTAGTGAAAAAACTGTGAACCTCGTCTTGAAGATCCGGCAACCTGTTTGTATGATCAAGGGAGACGAGAGAAGTGGAAGCTGTGGTCACTGTACGTAGAATCTTATATTTCTTTTTAATAGACGCGCCAAACTTCTTTGCTTTAGAAGAACATTTTAGTTTTTCTGCGAAATTCTGTCCAAAAAGGAAAGAATCTATGGGGCAAGTCTAAAATATATCCTTAACGGAGTCATCTAAACATGGAACAATTAAATAACGTCTATGCTTTGAGAGATAATAGAAAGCGTCGGCCCAAGCTTCATTGGATCCCCGAATTTTTCCAACTCCTCGTGAGTAGATGGTGGCGTGTCGGATTTCTTAAGTTCTTCATAAATGGTATTTAAAGGAACAGCTAAGGCACTTATAGCTGCTGCTAATTGACCCTGAAGTTTTGATAGACATATATCCTGCCTCAATACTGCCTGTGTTAAACAAGATTTAATTTCAGGATTTATCTCTGGTGGTTTCAGAGCCTCACAACCTTTTAAAATAGGATATTGTTCCAGGGTAGTTTTTCGTCCATCTTCATCCAAGCCCTTTGACAAGAAAACTGATAGCAAGTCTAAAATATCGGAATGCACCTCTGGCCCTAAATTGTCCGATGTTTTCTTTTCTAGCAGGGCCAATAAACCATTAGGAGGTTGCACCCGATTCGCTTTTGAAATGGCGGCAATGGGACAGGTCATTTCGGGGTCCTCGTCGTCACTAGGTTGGGGCCCGTCAGAAATCTCCGAGACGGCTATGGTCAAATAAATTCGTAAGAATTTATCGACACGTTTGCTGAGTAACAAAAAACGTAAGCTGAGGCGAGATGTTTATAAACAAGCAATAACACGGAGTGGCCGGCCTCATTTTTTCATAAATGCTCGGGTGAAACTGCACAAAATATATATGTTTATTCCAGTGGGAATATTAAGAAAACAAAATACCAGTGGGAAAATTGATTTCATGCAATTATTGTATATTTGCAGCAGTTCGTTAAACTTCCAAATGTTGCGAACACAGGATCTACAAAACAAAGAGATTATTAAAAAACACTATCCACTTACTTGTGTTTTCCAAAAGATCCTGCAATGATTCTTGTATGTTTCTCTTCTTAGATTTACGATTTTCCGACATTATTCACCACTTTTACGTGCAAAGGAAAAATCCGTCCTCTCAGAGCACACGAAAAAATTGTAATGAATAGTGACGAGTGTTCAGACGGCAGGAAATCGGAGACCCAATGGCGGAGAGAATTTGCTTTAAAATTCGTGCTTCAGAGCTCAGAAAAAGTTGCAACTACAAGTGTAATTATTGTAATTTGAGAACGGCAATACGAAATATAATAACTGATAACGGCGTTGCGTGGGAAGTGCAGAGTCAACCTACTTGACGCATTTTTTTATTTTTGGTACCCGTGGGAATAAGAGTTATTTAAATCTGTCGGTATTATTGTACTTGAATCTAAAAAACAGTTCACAAAATTTACTAGCAGATATACCAGTGTGTGGAAAATAATCTCCATCATAGTTGATGATATTGCGGATGGATTTTAACCTGTCTACCTTCTTTCAGAGCTGATTTAATTTCAATTTTTCTTAGGCAAAGACGTGAAATTTAAACTTCGACTGCTCAAGTCTGTCTGAAAACTGAGTTTCCAAAGCTACAGCACTGCAGATGCTGTGGTATAAATCAGGGGGTGTAACTCATATACAAGGACACATACTCTGGTTTTGATTGTGCAAGACACTTATGTCTATAGTTGATACTCATCATCCTAGATGGCGCAGCTTAACTTATTTTTTCAAATACTTGTAATAACATAAGAATTGTCAAAGCGAGAAGTAATTAGATTTAAATTTAAAATAGTACCCAGGTAATTAACAGAAGAAACTAACAGAACAGAGCGAGAGTGCCCGTAGAGTGATACCGATACGGCCACGGTGTCGGAGCCTGCTGGAGGCATAGGTTATGCGGGAGTGAAATCGATCGACGAGTTTGATTCAGATGATACGAGAAAAACAAAAGTGTTGATGATGATGATTGGAACGTCCCGCTAAGTGATTGCTTTTGAAGTCACTGCCCAGACGTAACTATCGTGGAAAAATATCTTCCTGAACTAGATAATTTTACGACCATCGACGATAATTTGGTAGCAGCGGATTGTGACATTATTCCTTAAATTGGAGAGTCAAACTATTCAACGAATGATCTAAGTTCCGATAACGAAAGCGGCGATGATGATGGACAAGTGAACAAACCAATTCCAAGTTATTCTGAAGCACTTTGTGAAATTAATAATAATAATAATAATAGCGTTTATTTGCAGAGAAAAAATTAAAAATGAAGCAACGAGATGAATTCCCTGCAAAAGGGACTAGTAAACAGACAAGCTGATCAAAGTACAACAGAGGAGTTCTTAACCAAATTATATAAGTTAATATTAATAAATAATAATTATAAACGTCAAAAAATATACGTATATAAAGAAATTATATAAAAAATATAATTTAACGAAAAAGGTCAAATCATTTTAGGCAGATTTAATAAAAAAAAAAACATTTTGAATATGAAAAGGAAAGGAACAATATAAAGTAAACACTACAATTCATCTAATAGAAATTTTCTGTATCTTCTTAGATGACACAGACATAGACTTGAGGTTTGTGGGGACGTGATTGTACAAGTGGTAGATAAAATGAGAAAAACATCTGTTAAATATAGATGTAAGATGACGTGGTTGGGAAATCAGCTTCCGATATCGAACATTGATATTGTGAACATCACTTCGAAATGCAATCTTATTATATAAATAAGTTGGGAGTTTTATATACAAAAATTTTATGAAACAAAACTGCAGAGTGCAGATTTCTCGTGGTTTCCATATTTAGCCATCCTATTACAGGTAACTTGTAAGAAATATGATCAAATTTTTTCACTCCAAAAATAAACCTAAGACAAGAGTTTTGGACACGCTGTATACGATCAACATCATACCTTGTTATACAAGGCCCATACACTGAGTAGCAATAATTGAATAATGACAGAACAAGCGTGTCACAAAACAAAGCCTAAAGTTCGGTAGAAAAGATATGACTATGTGGAAACATTTTAAGCCGGCCAATGCACTTATCAACATGCTTTGAAAACCTCAGGTCACTATCCATAATCAAGCCTAAATTGAAATATGGAATGAATCTGCCACGCTCTTTTTGTGTTTGCAGAACAATAAAACATTTGACTTGGTTGGATTTACAGATAACTGATGTACTATGCTTTCATTTGTTAAATTTTATTTTTTTATTTAAATTAAAACTGTTACAAATTTCTTACAGTTTACTGCTTACGGATCTGATGATTCAATTTTATAAGCCTCGTTGTACATAGTTAATTTGATTATGTCCTATTTTAATGTTATATCTTACATATTCATATTACTATATCTTTTTTAATTACATAGAATGTATTTTTAGTTAGTTTAGTCCCTTAATTGAACCAAATAAAAATTTACATATTTATTTTTATGGGTTTCCTTTATAGCGTACCTCCGGTTATAATCTACTCATTTTTTTCACCTTAGAGGGTACGTTATAACCGGAGTTCACTGTAGTTTGTCTTGTTTTTGGCGTGGATGATGTTGATTTTATATTTCAAATGTAACTGTCGAACGACTATTTTGTGTTAATCTATTTTGTGATGCATTTGGAAATATTGCAAAGTATGAAATTGAATTGGATTCAAAATTTTTGATACGGCGAACGTAGTAACAGAATATATGCATAGGTACCTACCCATAGACTTGGCGACATTTTTTAAGTGTCATGTATTTGCTTAGATGCTTATTATTATGTTGTATGTTATTTTATAGAATAAAAGTGGATAAAACCTTGGAAACTGTATGTTTTAACAACTAATTCCAATAACGTATAGATATTTTTCAAGTTAGCACATTTGTTTATAAACATAATGCAACTCGAGGATAATAGAGGGGGCAAGTGTCACGGATCAGAATCTTGTAAACAATCGTCGTTTTAGTTTCGTTTGTTATATGTTAGTGTTCGGCGCGCTCGGTAGATGGCGCTGTCAACGGTGGTACCAGGAATCATAGGAGAGTGTGTTATCTGTAGTGTAGCTAATAAAATGTGGTATGAACTATCGATTTGGCAAGTACTCATTCAATTCAACCTTATTATATATTCCTTGTCATTTGTGTAGGTTATTTTAGTAGAATAAGAAACTTCTGTGACATACGATTTTGATTTTTTCAGTTTAGATTCTTCCGTTCGTAGCATAAAGTTTATTTTGTCTTCCCAACTATACATGCCTGATATATTACATAGCGAACCAGTTTTCCTGAAATAAAGATTATGTTTAAAGGTTACATGGCTAGTGTCAGATGCTAAAATATACGAGGGAGGTCCATAAGTCCGTGACATCTTAAATTTCCCGGCTCCTAACTGGAAGGGCAACATTGCTCCTATCAACAACCATCTGTCAGTTGACTCCTGTCAAACAAGCTGCGTCATTTAGTTTATGGTTGTCAGCGATTGATAGCACAGGATCGCGTGAATGGTGAATGGATAAAAGTGAATTACTTTTTCCCCCGGAAAATAAACCATCACTCAAACTAAGGCTTTTTTGACAGGCGAAAGCTTTTATAGCCACTCTCAGGCAGAAAAATTCGATAGTACAAAGGGTACTATAAAAGTTTTACAATATGACTTAACAAACGGACGCAGGAGCCTGCATGTTGCTGCAAGGTAAGACATGTCCATGAATGCATAGTCTGTTGATTTAGTTGTTGGTTCGTATTGACAGTGTAAAGTGCGGACTGTGGCATCGTGCTCACGCAGTGAGATAAGGGCAGTTTTACGGTATAACTGTGCGCGTGGTTAAAGCATAGACCAGTGCTTAGAAGGATTGACGCTTGCATTAAAGGATGTTTGTCCTCATCGTGCATCTATATTCAGGTGGTACAGAGAATTCCAAAGGGGCAATTTCACTCTAGAGGACGCTGAGAGGGAAGGAAGGCCGCGAACATCAGTAACAGAGGAAAACATGACTGTTGTGGGGAAAATGCTTGACGAAGACCGAAGAGTGACATACCAACAGATAGAGAAGACCTTACACCTTCATGCACCAGCAAGTCATTCAATTCTGCATGACCATTTACACGTAATGAAACCTTGTTCTCTCTGAGTACCGCATAGTCTGACAGAAGAGCAGAAGACTTGGTACCGAAAGAGGCTGAAAATGTTTGATAAGGGGCAATCTCGGTATGTGAACAGCATCGTGACTGGCGACAATGTGTCGACCGAGGCTCAAAACCAAGTTTGGGTCTTTGATGATGAGGACACACCCGTAGCTGTCAGAAAATCTCGATCTATTAAGAAAAAAATGATAGCTGTATTTTTCAAATCGATCGGAATTGTGGAGCGTGCCGTTTTGGTCTCACAGAAGACAACAACAGCTAAGTCATACACGGAACAGTGCCTGCCTAGAGTCATAGAGTCTATGAAAAACCTGCGGCCAAAGTCAAGAATGGACACTTGGTACCTCCACCATGACAACGCTCCAGCTCACCGCGCCAAAGCCTGCACCGAGTATTTGACTGGACTGAAACTTATTGAGCACCCTCCTTACAGTCCAGATCTTGCTCCCTGCGATTTTCTACCGATGAGGACCTTCTGAGGGCTTGGGGAAACGAGTGTGCCGCACTCCCGGGTGAAACTTGGCAGAGCTGGTTTAAGGACTGGTTTTGGCGGACGAAGAAGTGTCGAATGTGTTGGAAATTACTTTGAACGAAATGGATAATTAAAGCTGTATTGCAAAACTTTTACAGTACCCTTTGTCTTGCCCTGCCGGCCCTTCCTGCCCGAAGTGTGAGATTCTTCAGAACTACTCTACATAGACAAGTTTCAAATATAAGCGTAAGTACTTACCCTTCCTCATAAAATGCTGCGCCATCTTCAGCCAATATATCCGCCTCACTTTCCTTGACATGAATCTAAAACATTTCGTAAAAATCATTATATTTATCAAAGAACTGTCAAAGTCAAGTTAAATTAAGCGCCGGCAAATAAAAATCTGAAAAATATCACTCTTCCTTTTGATATAAATCTATTTTTGGAATATCTCCAAAGATTGTATTATACGTTTCCTTTAATAAAGGACGCCGGCTGTATCTCCCACCCATGCTAGAGGTGCCGGTTAAAAACTGTGCATACGTCTGAAATAACTTTTTTGGATAGTATAAATGATTTACGATTAGTTATTTTTTTATACCAAAGCAGCCGCGCAGGCAGAACCCTAAATGCCATGACATCGCGGCTGCTATGAGGAGCTTAAAGAAACTTTGTTTCATAGCTCCAAAATAAGTGACAGCATTCGATAGGTGTCAGTTAAGTATGAGAAATGTTGTTGGTATTATTGAAGAAACCATTGAGGCACTTGGACATAACACTGACGAGTTTCCTATAAGCAAGTCCTACATTCAAAGAGTTCGTAACGAAATGCGAAAGGAGCGCGCAGAAGCTATAAAGCTTGATTTCCAAAGCGAGGTACCGGATACCGAATGTGATAACGTATGAAAATAAAGAGCAACTTATCGCTGTGCCCAACTTGGATGACTCTTCAGGCAGCGAGCAGGATCAGGCAGCTTGAGATGCTATTATTTGCTGGAATCTTGAAGATAAAGTTCAGATTCTCTGTTTTGATGCGTGCTTCTCGAACAGAAACTTAATAAAAAAATGCTTATTTTTGCTTTTGTTAAAAGGCGTGTTTGAATCAAAGATCGGCCAAGCGACTCCAAGCCATGACATTCCAATGTTTAAAAAGTTCGCGAGAGCTGGAAAAGTGTGGATCTCGAGAAAATTGAGATTTATACTGAAAAGCTATCATGCCTGAATATTTCAGACTATCAAGGCGCAGATACAGAGAAACCTTATACTGTATTGTTTCGATAGATCTTATACCTTAGATAGAGGTTAGTTGTTAATGCTTTCGTTCGTTGTCCTGACCTGAGGCCAGGCCAAGGCGATGCTGATGAGTTGCCAAAAACCACAAAACATCTGTCCATGGTTGACTGTCTGTAGGTGAGAGCTATTCTTCGTTTCAGAGAAAAATATCGTTCAGTCGACGAAGCACATAACCCTCCTACTGAGGCAATATGGTGAAAGTACAACCAATTAAACGTTTCCATGTTTAGCCGCCCCTAGCGGTCATTTCAGAAAGCAGGAAATAATTTGCAGCCATTTTTTTTCACCACTTATACAGGGTGGACTTTCCTTTTCAGAGTCAACTAAGTTTGCAATACTAAAGCTAATTTGCGACAAAACAACACCGAAATCGTATAAATGAAATTGAAGTAAAATACTCACTATTCATTTGGTAAGTAATTTCAAGTACTGCAATGTTACGTGTTTTGTTTGTAAACATTGCTAGAAGTTCGATTCAACAGCACGAGTTTGTTTACCTCTTCCAAAATTTGCTACATTTCGGGCTGTCTAGGTCTTCAACTATGCACCTATGCACTTCTGATGGAAAGAAACATCGAGGACGACGCCGAAGTTCTGAGTACACTTCGGAGTATTAATAATACGAGGGTCACGCTATATATTTTGAAAACTAAAAACTATTTTTCGAAAACTAGTTTATTTATGTTTAAAGTATTCTCCGCCAGCATCATTGATTAATTGTTTGATGGATTTCTTCTTCGGACGAAAATTTTCCACCAAGCAGATTTTTTATTCAAATTCTGGCGAATAAGGCGGATCTTCTAGCATTTTGATGTTTCGCTGGCGTAAAAAGTCTACAGTTAGTTGGGCAGTATGGCTAGAGGCATTGTCGTGATGCAGGATTGTACCTCTGCATCAACCTTTTTGTAATGAAGATGATCATGCAAAATGGTGTGCACTGTTGCGAATCCTACCACAAGAATTGCCTCTATAGTCGCATATGTGCAGCGAGAATCTTCTTCAATTAGCCGCTGAACTTTAGCAATGTCTTCTGGAGTCACACTAGAACATGGCCTACCACTCCGTTCTTCATCAGCCAATGAAACACTTTATTTTTTTTCTTAAATTTGTTCACACCACGTGCACTGTAAGATGCTTGCAAATGAACTGAACGCGTAGACTTACTAATAAAGGACTGCTCTTTCTAATAGTGCATTCTTGCCGATTTTAACTAGTATAGTTAATGCGCATCTCAAAATATACAGCGTGCCCCTCGTATCGGGAAGATGCTCACGTCAAATTGATAACTACGTTATTGCTCTAGGAATGTGCCAATTTCGGTTGTTAATATCCGGTTTGTTTATATTTGTTTATACTCGTAAACTAGGTTAACCTAGACACCACGCGACGCCTGGTTAGGATACTGACTCACTAGGTCTTAGTACATCATACGTTTTGATGTAGTGGGGGATTATGCGAGGGAAGGATGGCAGGGTCGTACTGATTATCTTAAAGCTTTGGTATATACAGGGTGTCCCAAGTAAAAGGTCGCACCCCCATCCGTGACTCTCCTGGTATATTTTGGGAAAAACGTCAATTTTCATTTCTAGGGGGACGTCTTTTCATCTATAGCCGTAGAATATAGGGTGATCCAAAAATAAGATATTGTGTTACGCTTTAGATTTTTATTTCTGGAAACCCCCACGAAGTTTTAGTAACTTTTGTATAATAAAGTTTATCCCTATCTTCAATCGATGTGGAGCTATTTGAGTTTATAATAAAATTCGACCAACTTAACACTAATAATAATGGAATGCACGGCAAAAAATAATAATCATGGATACCAGCAAGAATATTTAGCATCAGTTAGTGTCATCGTATGTGATAGAAAAACTTTGTCTTTCATTAGTTACCTATAGTTTTAGTCCCATTCCTGGTGGTTGCGTAATCAACGCCATATGAAAGAAGTAAACAGATCGAGTATCCGTACCATGAGCAGATCTTAATCTTAAGCGCACGAGCTGTCGGCCTTCTCCATTGATTGTATTTCCGGGCATTGTACAATTTTATATTAAAGATTGACAATAGGACAACTCGAATTACACGCCGATGTCAACTAAGTTGTCACTCTGAGAAATATGATTGAAGGGCACTCCTACGTAACGACAAACTTTTCGAGACAGAGACGCACAACTAAAAAACTTATGTCTTTGAGCTTACCGAACAAACGTTCACACACAGGGGTAGGTTGAATGTAGAAATAATTTTTAAAGAGTTCTTCATAGTCTTGAGTATACATATTTAGAGCTGAAATTTTTACACGGTCACAGAGGTTTATAAAAAATACTGAAATGCGCTAAACTGTTTATACAGTTGGCACTCAAACTGAAAACATAATTATGTTTCAAACCACTTAGACTAGTTAGTATGTAGCATGTTCTAAATGGCTGCATTATTGGTAACTGCATGACTTTTTCAAATAAGTAGGTCTAAAACTTCCAATATGGTATAAGTCTGTTTTCGAAATCTCGTACGATTAAGACGACTGCGAGTTCAAAATGTTGGAAAATAAACTTGAGAAAACGAAAAAACAGACAAATATCAACCAATTATAGCGAACTGATCGTTTGGAAAATTAGGCAAAATACTCGGTTTTAGTCCCTAATACATTATTTAAAGTGTCAGCAGTGTATATTGTAGTTTTCAAGAGTATTCTAACTGTTTGTAACAGATGATATGCCTCCAATGTTCGCTTGAAATTTGTCAGTGTCAAGTATAGTGGTATAGAGATCCAGTAAACCAAGATGTGTTGTAGTGTAATGAGAAAGAGTAATGATGGCAGAACCGCAGGACGGAGGTTCGAATCCACAATTAGAACTTCTCAAAAACTACTTGACCAATCGACTCTAATTTTGTTGTGGTCATTTAGAAGTATGAAGTATGAAAACCTCCAAAGAGGGTTTCCATTTAAAAATCTAAAGTGTAACGCAATATCTTATTTTTGGATCACCCTTTATTGTACGGCTATAGATGAAAAGAAAGAGAGAAATCAAAATTGACTTGTCTGAGCGTGTTACCCAAAATGTACCAGGAGAGTCAAACATAGGGGTGCGACCTTTTCGTTGGGCCACCCTATATATTACTAAAGAAACATGCTTATTATTGCCTGACCTATTCAAATTATACACTATGTAAAGGAAAGTCCCACTTTGAGGACGCCCTGTATTTTTTGAGCCCTAGCTTGGATGATTGCCGAGATATAGCTGGCGTCCTCTAATTATGACCCACCCAGTACTGGCCGCGGTATGGTGATGTCATTCTTGTATGTAGATTAACCATAAGAAAGAGCTTCCTCACCCATTGTATATCATCAAACTCTTCTAAACATGCCTCCAATTTAGCTATCAAGTCTTTATTGGCGTCATCCCTATTGGATAGTGTCTTCCAATTTTGTTTCCAATAATTTATCCGTGATTTCATACTAGTAGTTGCTAAGCTCGTATGAAGCATTGCCATTTTTACTTCTGAAAATGAGATTAGTTATATTCATTCCAATAAAAATTCAGTAACCAAAGGTCAACAGTACTCTCCCCATGAAATGTTTATTTGTAAAATTGTTAACCATCAGCGGAAAATCCGCCAATCTATGAGTGTTTCATATTCGACTCGTACCATTGGGATATCGGAAACGGTGAGAGATACAAGGCCGGTTAAATGGGGGCAAAGTTGCTTAGTCGAAATTCAAATGGCAATTAGAAGTTTCGAAATTCTACGTACTTCGGCACGGGTAATACGTATCTTTAAAAATGACATTTAGTCGCTTTTTTTACATTTCATATGTTTTTGTGATATAACGTAGGTTTTTCTACAAGATGTAAACTTAGCACTAGCTGTTGTACACTTGTTGTATATTCGTTCCGTAGCTGTACGCGTTGCCTAAACGTCATGATGCTTCAGCTATCAATGTTTGGCTCTTTTCCAGCTAACTATAACTGGAAGGAAACGGCAGTGCATAGTAAGGATTTATATGCTAATAATAATAATAATAATACGTCTTTACTGAGCGAAGTTTATTTATTTTAACACTTAACCCGTAAAATGTCCATCCAAAAAATATATACCAACCACTAAAAGTTTCAACATAAAAAAAATAAATTAATTGAGTAAAACACAGGTAAATTAAGATTGGAGAAAAGTATAACATTAAAAAAAAAATATTTTTCTTAAATAATTTTTGAAATTCTTGAAATTCAAAGTTTTAGAATCAAAGGGTAAATCATTGTACATGATAGTAGCATTATAAGTAAAACATTTAGTAAAAAATGAAGTTCTGTGAGGAGCAATTGTTATTGTATCAATAAAGCGAATACCTCGTGAGTGCATAGAACCACTAAATTTTAACTTATCTTTCAAAAATGGGGGAATTGACGTAAGTAAAAGCTTGTGAATATAACATAGTAAATGCAATTTAAATAGATTAGGAATAAACAATCATTCCAATTTTATGAACGAGGAGGTAAGGTGGTCATATTTTTTCAAGTTACAGATTAATCTGCAACAAGAATTTTGAAATTTTTGTAAGCGCTTGACAGATACTGAATTCAAAAACGGATGATAAGCAATGTCGCAGTATGTCATTTTTGAAATAATTAATGACTCGCAGAGAATTTTAGTTTTGTAATCCAGAATTTGTTTGTGCAAGTATAGTTGCCGAAGTATTAAAAAACACCTTTTTGTAACATTGTTCACATGAGGGATAAAATTCAGACATTCATCAAGAGATATGCCTAGATTTTTTACAGTTTCACATACTTTTATAATTTCTTATATTATATATATTTCTTGATTTGATTTCTAAATTTTTTAGGAGTAAATATAATTACTTTTGATTTTTCTGAATTTAATTTAAGATTATGAATTTTTGCATACTTGTCGATAGACCTCAGGTCTTCATTAATTTGAGCCTCAGCAATTATTATATTGTCAGGATTAAAATTATTGTATAACTGCGAGTCATCTGCAAAAAACTGAATATTGCAGTGTTTAATAGCCTTATCAAGATCGGAGATATATAAAATAAAAAGAAGTGGCCCAAGAACCGACCCTTGAGGACTCCCGATGAAATTAAAGCCTCAGGAGAAGTGTTCATATCGATGACAACACTGTGATCTATTTTTTAAAAAGCTGTTTATTAGAGCAACTGATGATTCAGAGAAACCATAAAATTTACATTTGGCTATTAAGAGTTGATGATAATTCCATTGGTTATTGTCTCAGATACCCTTACTTGAGATGTATTCTTCAAAGCTAGAAGTTAGTTGCGCATCCACTTTTTCTTATTCATTCTGGAAATTACATATGCAAATTTCCTGAATTTCAAAAATAAAAAAAAAAAATAGGAAAAGAAAATAGCTGGTTGGTGAAGTAATTAACTTTATGTGGAATCTTATAACGTACGTCCTAAGAGTTTTTGCACAAAACTCATTTACATTAATTTTAACAAACACAAACTAACATCAAGTTGCCTTTGGAAACAAAAGTTTGTTTACTTACTTTACTGTCAATAGACATTTATCTATTTTGAAGTTTTCGCTTTAAGATGTATAAATTAGAAATAAGAAAAAATATCTACAAGATGGTTGGGCGGGTACCTATAGCTGAAATCCGTCGAATATTCCAGAATGAAAACATTTCACGCACAACCATTTATCGAACAATACCGGAGTGCGGGCAGGGAATACCATGTCTGAATCTCCCAAAAAGTGAAAGACCACGTGCATTTACTGCAGAGTGGTCAGAGAGATTGGTGAAAAGAGCAAAAAATCAGGTTGAAAAATCAACAAGGAGACTGGCTCGTCAATACAGATCTTCTAAGAGTACGATATCGTTGGAATTGAGGAGGAATGGTCTTAAATACAGGGTGCGCCATCTTTTATGTTGGTATGTAAACATGAAACAACTTTGAAAACGAAAAACTGATTTCTATATATCGGGTATTTTTATTAAATATGGTCCTTTACAATTTATTGGAACTAGTTTTTGAACACAACATCTATCAACCTTTATTGGCCAAAACAAAATGTGCCCGTTTTTCTGCGTTTTCCATTACTTTTTCGAGCATCTCTGGTGGCATAGCAGCGATTGCGGTACGAATCACCGTCTTGTTGAACCCAGTAACCATCAAGACCTTTTTCACGCATTTGTGGGCAGACTTAATGAGCCAACATCCACCGATATCGATTTCCATCGACTGTTTCGTTTTCGTTGAAGAAAAATGGCCCAATGATGGTTTTGGCGCAAACGCCGGCCCAGCCACTTTTCGGTCATGCAACGGCATTTCGTGGATCTCATGTGGATTTTTCATCCCCCAAATGCGGCAGTTTTGCTTATTAATAACGCCAGAGAGCGTGAAATGGGCCTCGTCGCTCATCACAATTTGCTTCCAAAAATCGGGTTCAGCATCAACCATGCGAACGACAGTTTGGGCGTATTCCAAGCGATGTGGACAGTCATTTGGCAATATGTTTGTGTTAACTGCACCTTATAAGGAAACAAATACACAAACAAAATGCTGAGCGCGGTGACGATACGACACTTTTGGGTTCTGGGCAACGCTGCCTCTGACCGCTTCAACCAATTCATTGGAACGTCTTGGTCGTCGATGAAGGGTATATGTTGTCGATCTCCCACTGTCCCGTACTCAAGAAAAATCGAAACCAAACGACGGATAGTGTTGTCATATTTTCAACGATATGCGCGTTGCGTTAACACAACTGAACGACGATTTTCAATGTACATTGTGACTATTTCGGCGCGTTGCTTCGGTGTAAAGCGCTTCATGACTAAAATAGTAAATTGACGTTTCAGAAACACGAATAACCAAATCACACGGTTGGTAAATATCAAAGTCATTCGATGTTTCAACACCAACATAAAACATGGCGCGCCCGGTATCGAAAAAGACTTAAGTTCCTCAAATACTCTCAAGCGCAACTCCTTCGTATACCAAGATGCTGTCGTCAATTGAGGCGGGTACACATAGTCAATGGAAAAATCATTATTTTAGATGATGAAAAGTTATTTCACTTTGATTAATTCTGAAATAAAAGAAAATGACGGATTTTATACGGACAACGTAGAGGAATGCCCTGACAAAGTTAGATACAAACATTAAGTGAAAAACAGGGGTGTATTCCAACCTTTTGTAGGAAGATTGAGAGGTGAAGCTTTGAATAGTCAGAGCTATATTGATAACTGTCTTTCCAAATTGTTTCAGTTTGTCTACGAACATCATATATAGTCGAAATCACGAAAGATGACGATTACGTCATCATTTTATTCTGTAGTAAAGACAAACGACAGCCATTTGTGAATATTTTTAAATGAAGGTTCAGATGTGTTAGACAGAGACAAACAAAATTTTATTGTCTAAACAAGTAGTATTGCTGAATTGCATGTATCCGATAAAGGCAGACGATTTTTGCATGTTTAATGATCGATCACATTTGAAAGATGACAAGTGAGGTTATGTCATGTCAGCGTGTTGACAGTTCGTTCGTTCGTTGCAGGTTAGGTTGTTTTCGAACAATACTTTGGTCGTTGGTGTTCCTGTCTTGAGGTGTATTATGTTGTGTGTATAACTGTTTTTTTCAAAACAAAAACTCCTCATAAAAATTATTATCAAGGTAGAAACTAAATAATTTCCAACATAAGAGCATCATTTAAGACTTTAATTCTAGTTTTCGCTATGAAAGGCAAAACTCTTAGGTCTCAATCACAGGGCTTGGTACTATCCTTGCTGAATTATTTTCAACAAGAAAAGGATAATGGAGGGCCTCTATTACCATTGTTAGCTGTCCAAGAGGTTTGTAATAGTTAGAAATATGGTCATATGATTGCCCATTTATTCTATATTATTTTTCAGAGGGTGGCTCAGGCACTAAGTATCAGTTTGTCCACTATTACCAGAATACAGCGCCGTTTATCATCTAATGATAATGTCCTAAGATCACCTGGAAAGAAGAGACCCAGAAAAAAATCTAAGACAATAGATTTATCTGATGCAGTCAGGCATAATATACGAGATACAGTGTATCAAATGTATAGTGAAAGTAATGATAATGAGCGTCAGATGGTACATACCAAATTATTGATTTTTTGTTTTGTTTCAGAGAAACATGTCACAATATCAAATTTGAATAAAATGCTTAAAGAGAAAGAGCTTGCTTCTATCAGCAATAGCTCTTTACAAAGAGTGCTGCCCACCATAGGCTTTAAATATAAAAAAGTTGGTAATAGAATATTTCTAGTTGAGCAATCCAGTATTGCTTTACTTTGCACCAAATTTTTGAGAAGTTATAATGACTATGTGAACACTTCCTCGCATCAAATTGTTTTCATGGATGAAACATGGATATTTTCAAAAGGCAGTCCAAAAAAGTCTTGGCAAGATGAGTCAATAAAAAGTGTAAGGAGACCATTGGGCTTTCAAGGAAAGCGATTTATTGTTGTCCATGCAGGGAGCGAAAAAGGATTTGTTGATGGAGCAAGTCTGTTATTTTCCTCACAGTCTAAATCTGCAGATTACCATGGTGATATGAACGGCGAGACATTCATTAAGTGGTTAAAAGAAAAACTCCTCTGCAACTTGGAAGAGCCATCAGTGATAATTATGGATAATGCATCCTATCATAGCATTTTATTGGAAAAGACTCCAAACACAAGTTCTCCAAAAAAAGAGATTATTGACTGGCTGGTTATAATGAAATTGTGTTCCAACCAAGATTAACTAAAGTGGAGTTATTGAATATAGTGAAAAGAAATCGTAAGGAAAAGAAGTATTTAATAGATGAAATCATAAGAAGTTATGGACATGAAGTTCTTCATACCCCCCCCATACCAGTGTGAATTTAATGCCATCGAGTTAATGTGGGCCAATGCTAAGCAGTATTATGATAGACATATTGGAAGATGTGGTCATAGTGATGAAAATGTTTTAGCTATGTGGAATGAAGCTCTGTCACAAATTACACCAGACGTTTGGAAAAAATGTGTGAAGCGTACCCATGATGTAATTTTAGAGTGGTACAACAAAACTATTACTTGTGAAATAGAACCACTGATAATCTCATTTGATTCAGATAGCGATACTGAATCTGACAGTAGCGATTAATTTTTAATCTGAATTTGACCATAAGTAATGGAATAACATATTGAAATGTACAGTTTATTTTATTTGATATATGTTTTATATAATTTTGTAGCTTATGCTAAAATGAATAGTGGATGGCATGACATGAAATAGTACAAAAAAATTTTCACTTTGGTATGCTTATTTGTGTTTGTTTTTTTTTTATAAAATAAAACCATGTTCTCAGAATCAATTGGTCGTTTTAATGGAGCTGATACCAATGAATTATTATGATTTTGGTAAGAACTCCAGGGACTCAACAATATTAGATGAAAAATAGGTTCAAAATACGTACTATTATTGTGAACAGAGGAAATGCTGTTTTTTTTAATAAATATGTAATTTTATTGCAAATAGAAGTCTTAAAATGTCTGTAAAATGTAAATGATAATTTAAAATCATGAAATAGAATAAATAAAAATAATCACTGAAAACAGCTAACTTCTATCACATGTTCCTGACATCGTAACCTTATCATCGACGTACGACCGGTAATTATTTCGTTACAATTTATGGTATGACGTAATCGTCATCTTTCGTGATTTCGACTATAGCAATGACAATATCAGACATAGCAGCATGCCATTACTCAAGGGAACCAAAACTGGCTTTGACAACACAACAACGATAATACTCCAAAGTTGCCGCAGGCTCGTCCAATAGAGGATTTTTGGGGTTTACTGTCTAGGAAGATTTATCATGGAGTCTGGGAAGCCCAAGATGAAGAACAATTAAGGCGACGAAAACATATAAATAACCTGTCAGGCACAGCTAATAGATATACTTCATTCGCAGCATATTCAGTAATAATTTTCTCACATGGCAAATATCACTGATTTTATACACATGCAGGCCAATACACATTATCATCCAGATGCGATCTTGCTACTCAACCAACTTTCTTTCTTTCATATCTTCTCAGAGATAAACACTACAGACTAACTGGCTTCACAAAACATATACTTGCTTTCTGCAACCAACAATGCGTGTAGTTGAGTCATTCCTCCATAGATAGACGCTCACAGCGATCATAGCGAGAAAATGCACCCTAAAAACTACCTAGTCTGCAAGATGACATTTCGTTGTTTTTTGCGCTTTATAGGTTTTTTACATAATAGCCGTGCCGAGGTGTTAGCGAGCGCTAGTGGTAATTAGACCTTGAGCAATAACTCAAGGTCAAACATAAGTGGTTCAAGGTCATTGTGAACGTAAAATTTTACTCTCGTTTTATCGGAAGCATTTCCCCCTAAAATTCATTCACGAAAAGTTTTCGACACGTTCCGGTACTTTTGCCACACACGGTATAATGCTTCTATGGCAGTTGCTGGCAACGAGATAGCACACTATTCGTCAGTGTCTGTCAGAGCGGTCCGTAGGACCTTTGCTCTTGGTTGAAGTCGTGTAAGTCAGTAGGTCTGTCAGGTCTGGTTGCCCAGATACCCAAACAAAGTCAGGGAGAAAGAAGGGAAGAAGAAAGGAAGGAAGGAAGGATGGAGAGCAAAGAAAAAAGAAGTGCATCAATTTGAGGGGTGCCTTGGCATTGCTAGTTAGTATTCTTCAATTTTAAATTGATCCTAAAATTAATTTTGGGATTGGTTGTTGAAGAAAAATTATAATTTTGGTTGGACCTAAAGTCGCACGATTTAATTGTGTTCACAGTGCGAGTCGCGGCCTTGTGTGCTTGCGAACTTGCTTGACTGTGTAGTCAACGAGATAGCGTTTCTCATGCTTATCAATCAAATGGTTATTTATCTTGAAACCACTGTCAGGTTTGCAAGTTTTAAGTTTTCACCCGTATGATGTAACTGAAACCAATTCTACCATTTAAGTTAAATATACTAAGTGAGATATAAATCCGAACACCCAGTTTAAATGGTTTTATTTTAATAAAAGTTGGTGAATGTATTTATCTTACTGTAAATAACAAGTGAAAAAATTTTCAGTCTCATCAGTTGGACATTCCGGTTTTAATACTGCTTTTTTTTAATTCACTAACGCTCTAAAAATGAATATTTCAGCCGCAGTAAAGAATCAACGTTGGCGGATTTTCGTTCTTGACATCCTTTACGATCGGTTACGATGCCTAGAGTACGGAGACCTGTACGATTTCGTCAACTTAGTGAGTTTGATAGGGGCCGTATAGTGGGACTTCGGGAAGCTGGACTTTCTTTTCGGGCAATTGCAGTTAGACTGCAAAGAAGTGTAGACACTGTGATTAGGTGTTGTCAGGCATGGCTTCGAGAAGGCCGTACGCAAAGAGCAAGGGGCACTGGACGCCGCCGTAGAACAACAGACCGTGAAGATCGCCGCCTAAGATTATTGGCCTTAAGGGACCGTTTCTCCATTACCAGGTCCATTGCAAATGAATGGTTTGCAGAACACGGAAGACCTATTGGCATGCGAAGTGTTTACCGACGAATGAGAAGTTTTGGCTTGTTTTCATACCGGCCACACTGGGTCCTCCCTTTAACTCGAGAAGACCGACGTAATCGCCTTGAGTGGTGCAGACAAAGGTCACTCTGGGATCAGGAATGGAACAGTATTGTCTTTAGTGACGAGTCTCGATTTTATTTAGGCATGCACGATGGTCGTGCCAGGGTTAGAAGGCGACGTGGTGATAGGAGGAATACACAGTTTTTTGTTGAAAGACATGTTCATCACACTGTTGGAGTTATGGTTTGGGGTGCTATAGCTTATGGTTCCAGGTCACCTTTAATCTTCATCAGAGGTAACATGAACGCGCAGCGTTATATCCACGAGGTTCTAGAACCCCATCTTTTACCCTATCTTGACACCCTGGCAGATCCAACTTTCCAACAAGATAATGCCCGACCACATGTTGCAAGAGTCACAATAGACTTCTTTCAACATAATGATGTCACATTGTTACCATGGCCACCAAGATCTCCCGACTTATCCCCAATTGAGCACGTGTGGGATATGATGGGTAGGAGATTGCAGAATTTGCAACGTCCTCCTCAGACTCTAGAAGCACTTCGAGAGGAGTTGGTGGTTGCCTGGAATGAGATACCACAGGAGGACATTGACCACCTGATCAGAAGCATGCCTAAGCGCGTTGGAGAATGCGTAGCACATCAGGGTGCATCCACACATTATTAAAGGTCAAAGGGCTTTAAAGCAGTGCAATCATTTTGAAATTTTTATCATTTACTTATTATGCTTCATTAAGTACTTATACAGAATTTTATGAAAATAAAACCATTTAAACTGGGTGTTCGGATTTATATGTCACTTAGTATACTACATTAAAGTATAAAACGAAAAGTATACTTACTGTGCTTTTTGAGGGTCAGCAGCGCCACTACCAAAGCTTGAATGTCAGCTATAATTTTTGAAGGTCGGCCTATCACAGGATGAGATATGTTCCTAGAAATATAAGACAATTATTTGCAAAAATTGTGACTTGAAGATATAATTATTATTCTCCATGCAAACGAAAAATTAGCTAGTGATGCTTCCCGGGTATTCTACCAATAACCATGTCAACTGTACTGTGATAATGAAAGCTCTAATATATTCAATCATTGATCATAAATAGCTTTGTTAAACACATAATCATAATAGAAATTTTGACAAGTCTTAATAGGGTAATGGAGATATTGAAATAGATCTACTAAATCAAAAAGGCTTCTAAGAACATTCGTATGTCGGAATCAAATTTATCAGCACTAGAAATGTCAGAAGAGTTCATCATACTATAAATATACGTACAGGGTGGCCCAACGAAAAGGTCATACCCCTGTTTGTGATCTCCTCGCATATTTTGGGAAAAACGCTCGGACACGTCAATTTTGAGGGACGTTTTTTCATCTATAACCTTACAATACAGGGTCATCAAAAAATAAGGTATAGCGTTAACTTTGGATTTTTAAATGGAAAGTTTTTAGTAACATTTGTATAATAGTTTATACCTATCTTCAATCGTTGTCAGGCTATTTGAGTTTATAATAACATTCTAGAAATTGTGATAATAAGGGATTATATCGCAAAAATAATAATCAATATATTCCCATAGTAACAAGACTTTACTTTAAAATTAGAAACAAGTTTCCGAGTATTAAAAAAAAATAACTTACAATTTACACGCACGTTAAAGTTAAAGTAGAAATTCATTTGCTATAAAGAGGTATTTCAATAAGGTAATAAGTGCAATAATAAAGATTTTGTTCGATTCTATTCCACACATTTTCAAGCATGTCTTGAGTTATATGTCTACATTCAGCCGTAATTCGCTGACGAAGATCTTGAATGGAATCTGGATTCATACTAAAAACTTTACTTTTCAAAGGCCCCCAAAGAAAGTAATCCAAAGGAGTTAGGTCCGGAGATCTCAGCGGCTACTCGATGGGGCCTCGTCTGCCGATCCACTGATTCGGAAAATGGGTGTCAAAAACTGTCGCACTGGAGCCACATATTGCGGCGGTGCACCATCTTGTTGGAAATGAATGTAATGCTAATTATAATTATTCATTTTCTATTATTTTGGTAACTCGTGGTTTTATTGTATTTTCTAAGATGTCCAAGTACGTCTCGTCCGGCATGTTTCCAGGAATAAGGAAAGGTCCTACAATATGATTTCCGAAAATGCTGGCCCACACATTTATTTTTTCAGGAAATTACGAGTGTACCTCTCGAAACAAATGTGAATTCGAGTCACACCGATATCGACAATTATGTCTATTTACAGCACCATGTAACGCATTAAACAACCTGGCAGTAGCTATTGCAATGCTCTCAATTCGGTTTTGTTCTTTCTACCCTTTTTTGAATTGAATAAGTCATTGTTCAATATTTATCACAACTAGGTAGGTAACTTAACAATTTGAAATGAAAGACAAAGTTGACTGATGTTAAATGTTCTTGCTGGTATCCATGATTATTATTTTTTGCCGTGCATTCCATTATTATCAGTATTAAGTTAGTCGAATTTTATTACAAACTCAAATAGCTTCACAACGATTGAAGATAGGTATAAACTTTTTTATACAAACGTTACTAAAAGCTTCACTAAAAATCTAAGAATAAAAAAAATGGGAATTTCCAATTAAAAATCTAAAGTGTAACGCAATATCTTATTTTTGGTTTACCATATATTGTACGGCTGTAGATGAGACGTCCTCCTAGAAATCAAAATTGACGTGACCATCAAGCGTTTTTCCCAAAATATACCGAAAGAGTCACAAATGGGGGTGCGACCTTTCCGCTAGGCCACCCTGTATATTGTAGCATTTTCCAAAACCATTTTCGACACAATATCAATGTTGTCCAGAAAAAGTATTTTTTGTATGTTTTCACTTTTTTCTATGAACGTAAATTAGAAAAAACGGCCCCCAAAGTTCAAACATAAGACTGGGCCGTCATAATCCTTAGTGCGACATACCAAGTTCATCCACGCCTCGTCTTGAGAACCTGACCCTACTTTTATGGACAGCCTGGCCGCCTGACTAGAAGTCTCAATGGTACGTGGACATGGAAGTACCACATATTTTTGGACTCAAAATAAGTCAATTGCACATGATGTAAATGTAATAGAAAATGCAACACCGACTAGGATTGTTGTAATTTTGAGCATACTTTTAAAAGTTTTAGGTCTACTGATAAATAGAAAGTGATTGAAATTATAACTCTAAATTACGCAAAATAGCTGAGATATCCGACCTTAATGTTCATAATGTGTTGAAGCTCCTTTGTTCACTACACATTCGTTAGGTCGTCACGGCATTGATTGGATTAGGTGAATGATATCTCCTTAGTGTATTGTATTCCAGGCCATCTAAATTTGGTTTCAAAGAGCCTCCAATGTTTGTGGAGGATGCGGTGAATTTTGTAACCTTCTTCCCATCATGTCCCATACATGTTCGATGGGGGAAAGGTATGGAGATCGAGGAGGTCACTGAAGCAAATTTACTCCGGACGCTTCCAAAATAGTGGAATGTTTCCAAAAGGGGAGCATATGTGCTGGCGTAAGCAATGGCACATACCATAACACCCACACTGCAAAGAATATGTCGTTCGATGGAATATTGGACGTTCCGTCTTTCACCACGTCTCCTCCTTACTCTTGCATGGCCATCATATGTGCCCAAACAGAATCTGGACTCATCGCTGAACATGACTGAGTGCCATTACATATTCCGTTCAAGTCTCTCCCTACTCCAAACCAATCGTTGCCGACGATGCTGTGGAGTCAGAGGTAGTACAAAATGGCGAGGGTATGAAAACAGTCCAAATGACCTTATTCGGCGATAAACTGTCCTTATTATTATTGCCCTCCCGACAACATCAAACCACTGGTTCGCAACTGCTCTTGTTGTGGAAAATCGATCTCTAAGTGCTAGTTGCCTCAAATAACGATCCTGACGCTCTGCAGTCTGTTTGCGAACTCTAGGCGTGATAATGCAATGAAACAAATGGAACCAGCACTGAAAAATCACTGAATGTTAGATAAAAATGTTCTTATTGTAGCCGACCAAGTTATCAATTTCTAAATTCGTTGAAATAATTCGTCATGCCGCCTACCCTTGTAAAGAATCGTCGCATCCATAAAATAGAAATAAACATAAAAACTAAGGGCAGAACAAACACTCGCATCTGCAAACCACCCAGTGAACGCCAAGGGAAACCAAATTCATATTACGAAAAGAATAGATAATAGAACCGGATGCTATAAAGTTGGACTTTTCAGATATGTCGGGACAAAAACATGGTTTGGAGATCTATTCTGTAATAACATTTGGTTGGTATAACTATAAAGTTACAACCAAAGGAGTGCTGAGAAATTTGAATCTCAACCATTTGGTTAGCAGATGTTAGAAACTACCACGAGCGCTGAACGATCACGCGTCAGAGGCGTATCATGGGATATCTAAGACTTCCGAAGGCTAGCTTATTACTAAAAATTGTCATAATTGTGGGAAAATATGAAAAAGAGGAGACAAACAGCTAGGTTTTTAGTAGAATTTTCCCCTAGCTGATAGGAGCAGGTGCGCCAGGCTGGATACGATTCTACCTTCTGTCAACGTACGCGTTGACAGATGCGGTTTGGAAATTATCATTAGAGAGGAGCAGGTGACACTAACGAAAGACTGCGTAGTTCCAATGAAGCTAATTTTGTTAAAAATACATAAAAAAAATCTAGAAGAGAGTCACCGTTAGTTTTACCTAAATGCTATGTATAATTTTATAATTATTTAAGAGGACATCTCGAATTGTGGCCTCAGCATTACAGGAGTTCCCAATCCATTGTAATTATTGAAAACTGCAGGGTTTGCCCCAAAGCAATTAAAGCTTCGAGACGCCACTAAAGTGGCTGTTGCGTAAACTTAAGGGAAGACTGTACGCTGACGACACTCCTTGAGGTGGGACAAGGGAACGTAATTAACCAACACAGTTCAAGGCCATTTTGAGTTCAAAAATTAAGTCTAACAATCATTGGCCAAGGTAGTTTCCATCTTTAGAGAATCAGACGACCATTGCAAGGGTTGTAAACGGATCGACCAATGAGGAGACAAGGGTTGAACTCACTAAGAAAAGTGACCAGCCTTCTGATGGAGGGGAAAATCCGCAACTGACCTCCGATAATGTTGAATGAATTGCCTCAAGAGGTTGCCAAACGTCTTATTAATTCTTTAAGGCCCGGTTTTTCAATTGCAGGTTAACTGTGATTTTTCAGATAACCGGAAATAAACTCTTAAAATGTGTTTTTCAATGCCACCACGGGTATCATGTAAAAAACCAACAAAACGTCAAAAAAACCTAGAAGATGACAACTTGCAGACTAGGTAGTTTTTAGGGCGCAAGCGGTCATTCCACGTTTGCTCACTCGGATCGTTGTGAACGTCCATCTATGGAGGAACCACTCAACTAAGCTACACGCATTATTGGTTGCATAGTTTTGTGAGGCTGAGTGATCCGTGTCTGTAGCTTTTATCTCTGAGAAGAATGTTGGTTGAATAGCAAGATCGCATCTGGATGATTTTTGTGTATTGGTCTGAATGTGTATAAAATCAGTGATATTTGCTGTGTGAGAAAATCATTACTGAATATGCTGAATATGAGGGGTTATTTATCAGTTGTGCTTAGAGAGGTTATGTTCAAAGTTATAAATTACGAAAGATTGAGGAGAATTACCGGAAATCATCACCGCGCCCGCGTTGTGTGTAATTACTGTTAGCATGTATATGGTTTGTACTTCTACAGTGTACAGTGAATTTAATTATTTCTGATCTCATTTTTGAAATTTAGAAAATTTGTATATGTAATTTCCAGTATGTATAAGAATAAGTGGCTGGGCAACTAATTTCTAGCTTTGAATATCGATTATGCGTATTTGAGACAAGGACCAATGTAGTTATCATACAACTTACAGCTTAGACCTCCAGTAATGCCATCTCAGAAGCAGATTTTACATCACGTCAGAGCCAAAGATTGATACCAAGCCTCATGATGTTTAGGCAACACGTACAACTAAGTGCTCAGTTAACATCTTGTAGAAAAACTTTCACAATGTCAAACAAAAAACACCATATTGTCAAAAAAATGCCATAATGTCACTTTGCAAGATACGTGATACCCGTGCGGGTTTGTCCTAAAACGGTAGTTAACTTTAACCAGAATACCATCCACAGATTGACAGTGACATGAGTTGTCGCGGATGCCAAGACACACAAACATCAAGCGTCATAAAACCCATAAAATACGATATTTTAGACGTAGAAACTTGAAAGTTAACCAGCGATGGAAAAACCGAGCTCAAGTGTAGTCAGCGAGAATGTATGATATTACCTATTACAATTTTATTTAATGCGGGTACTGTGCGAATCTTTCATTCGTTCAATATGACCACCATTTTCGTTCCTGTGCATAACAATATGGCGCAAAAAAATATAGTTAACTTTCTTTACGATGTCATCATACAAGAGGTGCTTTTTGTCAGATGTCAGGAGAGATGTGATGCAACTGGCTGTGGTGCACGGACCGGAAGGCTGATCCGAGATATTAAAACTTGGATTGAGAAGGAAGCGCTGCGGATAGATTACTATACCACACAGTCCCTCACAGCACATAGTTGTTTTGACAGCTACCTGAAGATAGGTAGGAAAGAGAGTACGCGACTTGCGTATATTGCAATGAAGAGGAGGATACTTCTAATCACCTACTAGAATGTGGTAGATAGGTTGACTACCAGATACAGCTGGCACTGACGCTCGGCGAGATGCTCACTGCTGACAATTTTGTCACGCATATACGCGAGGGAAAGTGGGTTGATATCCAACCAATAGTGACACGAATGATGGAACTAATAGTAGGTTTCTATTTTCATCGGTTGTATATGTACATACGTATAAAAGTATGTATGCGTACGATAGAGAATAGATGACTAATACCTTTGGTATGAAAACCTAGCGCAACGCTACCCACTATGAAGAAATGCAGCATGCATTATCATGTGGGATGTGTGGTGAACGACTCAGGGGTTTTAGTTACTGAGGAGTTTTAGTTTTAGAATCTCACACTTCGGGCAGGAAGGGCCGGCAGGGCAATACTGTCAAGTTTTTTTAGCCTGAGAGTGGCTATAAAAGCTTTTTCCTGTAAAAAAGGCTTGGTCTCTCGTCTCTAGGACAACGAACGAAAGCATGACAGCTGTCCTCTATCCAGAAGGAGCCGTCTATTGAAATAAAGACAGCGCAAAGCGCCATCTATCACCAGAATCAACCTTGCGGAGAGCTCATAGCTACCATTAGGAGGAACTGTTAGGGATCTCAGTTCACGTTTAATAGTCCAGTCACCACGCGACTGCTAGATGACGATTCTAGCTGTATAGTAGATGTGTCGCCCCAGAGATGAGTAGCCAAGAACATATTATGTCCATGGTCGACTGACGAAAGCATCATGTTTAATAAATCTTTTACTTTATTAGACGAAAAATGTGCTCAGGGCACTTGAACACATTTGTTGAAATAAATAAAACACTTACATGGTACCCCTATCAAACCAAACACCAAAGCCAGCTTTGGCGTTAGATTTATCGCCTTCGTTGCATACACCACTTGTATAGACCATTACATAACCTTCAACAATTTTAAAGTTACTGCTGTCTAAATCAATCTCGGATGCTTGAGACCTTTTTGCTCTTTTCAAAGGTGTATCTTCGGAGCTACTAGGACTTTCCGAATCTTCCAAGTCAATCTCGACTACTTCAGCTCTTCGTGGCCTTTTCGAAGTTCTCTCAACAGGAATACTAGTACTTGGCGTATCATCAAGTAAAATGGTTTTCCTGCAATACCTTGAAATCTTAAGACTCGTTAGAGAATCGATAAAAGATTTTTCGTTGACTATTTACGTTGGTTTACTTTTATTGTGGAGTAAGACATTAGGGAGAACATGTCACGTGGCAAAGGTGTGCACGCGATAAGCTTTTATGTCTAACTGGATTATTCAACTAAATGGCCCACATATGTTTATATATTTAGATTCGTTCCGTTGGAATTGCATGATCCACATTGATAAATCTAAATTTCTCGCCAAACATATACTTAGTGACATTAGAAGTGTTATACCCAGGAAAAATAATTTCTTCAACTTATTTTGTGGCAACATAATGACTATATTTAAAGCATTCTGGGCAACAATGTCAAAGTTTTATCTTTGTTTTTGTTTACCTTTGTTAAAACGTTATCTCTTAGCTTTTGTGAAGGAAGCAGAGCTGAGTAGTACAGATATTTTTAGTTATTGCCCTTTCATTTACTAGTGTTAAGTATGACAAAATGTCGCCGCCGTGGAGAACGGCGTGATCCACGAAGTTCGAGTTGCTTGAAATGAGGTGCCACAATCAGACCTCAATCATCTCATTTTGTCGATGCCTAGACGTATACAGGAGTGTATTCAGCTGCGGGGCCGCCCAACACATTATTTTTTTTCTGATTACATACTTGTCAATAAAATTTCGTAAGAATGTTATCGTTTTATTCTTGATGTAAGCCAACATCATTGCCAAAAAAATATTTTTTTGAGTGTAAACACTTCTAATGTCACTAAGTATATTTCCCAAATTTTTATTCGAATCTTGACGAGGAAAACTTACAACAGAATTATTACACCCACCTTAGTGCTACGGCTTTTCATTTTCTCATAGTCATGTAAGTTGCTTTATTAAATAAAAAAAGTAGACATTGTTTGTTTTTACTTCCTGGTGTCATTCAACTGGAGTGTGTATACCGGGCGTTTCAAATTCGACCCTCACCAATGGGAAAGACACGAAGTCGCTTAAATGGGGCAAAGTTTGGAATTCAGATAACTAACTAAATGCCGCTTAGAACATGAACATTTTCACTTTTTCGCAACTACAAGATGGTATATAGTCGGAATCACGAAAGATGACGGCGACAGCGATTTGTGAATATTTTTAATGAAGTTTCAGATATGTTAGACAGAGACAAACAGAATTTTATTGTCTAATCAAACTGTATTGCTAATTTGCAGGTATCCGACAAAAATAGACAATGTTTTCATGTTGTATGATCGATCATATTTGAAAGATGAATAGTTAGGTTATGTTAAAGCAGGTTAGGTTATTTTCGAATACTTTGGTCTTTGGTGTTCCTGCCTTAAGGAATTCTACTCATAACTGTGTTTTTCAAAACAAAAACTCCCCACTAAAATTATTATTACGGTATCACTCAAAACCATGAAATAAAATGAAAATAAAAATAATCGGTGAAATAACCTAACTTCGCAAAATCATAATACAAATTTATTGTCTTATGTTCATGACATCATGATTTTATCATCGATCCATTGATTACTTCAGTACAATTTATGGTATGATGTAATAGTCATCTTTCGTGATTTTGGCTATAATTTAAACTTCGCTATGGCAGCATAAACTGTATTTTTTCTAATAGATACCTTATTGGATTTTCGCGTAGATGTGTTTTTAGTTTTGATTTCAAAAATATATGTCATACATGGACAATGCCAAACCTTAGTTATTTAAACAAAATAGAATTTCCTATGAGGTCTTGAAACTGTTTATTTCCTGGTTTTATTTGAAATGGGATTTTAAAATAAATTGCACATTAGCTGCCGCTGCAAGAGGTTATAGATAAATTCTCAATTAGACGCTTCTGTTTTCAATTTCCATCCTCTACTTTGTGTTTTTCTTATGGACTCCTCACTGAAATTTTGCGCAATCTAACATAATTTTTGATTCTGCATCTAGTTATGAATGTAATATACGGGGTGTAATTTAATTGGTGGCTAAAAATACAGGATCTGATTCCTTAGCTCATTTTAGGTCGAAAAGTTTGTATGAACATATATGTCCTAAACCTCTTAACTTTTGAGCTACAGTGTGTTAAACTTTCAATACTGTTCTAGATATTTTCATTAAATTTGACATGTACCTATTAAGAACCAATAGGCATTTTTTGATGTAGAATATTTTTTTTCATATTTCTACCAGTGGCGTCCGTACGGGATGTATACTGGAGATTTTTCCAAAAAATATGGTACGCCATTTACTTTGCAACAAATTTGACCTCTTGACTTTCTTCCGACCGATGCACCATTTTCGCGTAAAATATTTATTTAGACATATGTTGTATATAAGAAAAACTAAGTTGATGCAGGAGGACAATGGACGAATCGTCATATTGAAATTCCGATCATGGCATCTTGTAGAAGAGAAAAAGTGGCAATCCCACTATAAATAAAGTCATTAAAAACTAAAACGATTTTTGAAAAATTCAGTTTTTTTCCGTCTCTCTCCGCAAGTACTTTGCATTTTGAAACTTTCTAAGCGGCATTTTGTTAGTTACCTAAATACGCAACTGTTCTCCAATTTAAGCGACTTCGTATCTGTTATCGTTTCCGAGATCCAATGATGATGGTCGAATTTGAAACACCCGGTATAAAAGTACCGAATGTTTGCGATTACTAATATTATTTTATTTATTTATTAATTAAGATAAATAAAATACCTTGTATAACGAGAACTTTTTCTCTCCAATGCCTATGCCAATATTTTCAAAAAATATTGCACTATTCCTATAACCTATAACTATAAGCTCACTGAACATAACGCTTTGGCATAAAAATAAATAATTATTGAAACCAACCAATTTTTAAAAAGTAAATGGCACAAGCTGGGTCCGACCAACCTTGCGAAAAAACAAGTATTCACATACTATGAGTTAGTGCTTATTTTTTAATTTCGAAGGTTTACATTTTGTTTAAATGGATTCATTAGTTGAGCAACACATATTTAATTACCGTAAATGTATTTCCTTGATATTTCACAAATACAAGCAATCAGTTCTTTTTGTTCAATTGACTCATATTAGATATTCGAATATGAATGTTCTCCCTATTTTTCTAATATAAAAATATTTTGGGATGATCAAATCTTGACATACACTGAAAAGGGTATAACAGACCCATGTTTCAATCTGCAAATGTTGAAGGTTGAATAATACTCTACTGAAAACTTTAATAACCAGGTAACCCCAGTCATATCTAAAACAAAGTATTACCTGGGATTATGTCTCGGACGAACCCCGCTTTCATGTCTTTTAGTTATACGATCCTTTGTCAATTTATCTTCATCTTGCTTCCAGCGATATATGTCAGCAGTTAAAGCCTTTATTTTGTCGGATATATCTTCTAATGTTGTTAAGAGTTTCTGTATCTGCACACTGCCAATTAATGGATGAAATAAGTAAATAAGCATATAAACAGACAAGCTACACTTTAGTAGTGTGATTCAGTATACTTTAGATACATTTACCTGTATGAATACTGAATTACAAAATAAAATACGCTGAATCGTTTGAAGAAAAAAAAACAGGTGTTTTGCGATAAACAATTAGAAATTTTCAAAACTTACTTGACCAATCTATTTCAATTTTTTGTGGTTATTTAGAAGTACGAAGTCTACGAATTTGAAGAATTTCAAGAATCTGAGTGAAATTATCGTCGCATCATCTACAAGTCCTGCATTGTGCCTAGGTTTTCGGCCATAACTTTTTTGCTATTAGTCGGATCTTTTCATGTGTCGTCCAGTTTTGAGATACAAATACTCTAAAATATCTTGCATGCAAGTAGAGTAAGGTGCAAATGTGTTCCTTCTATGAACATTAAAATCCGCTTTCCAACATTATCACCATTATTGATGTATTCAAGAACGATAAATAAATAAACAGGTATACTAAACATCACTTATTTCTCATCTGTTTGCATATATTTCGAAAATATAAAAATCTGCTGTCAAACTGGCATAATCAAGTTGACAGGTTACAATTAGGGAAACATTACGTATTAGATGCATATTACGAACCCTAACACAAAATAGTTCAGACATTATCTAATTTTATCTTAAAGTTTGTTTATTTTTTAAGGTCACAAAATCATTTGCTTCTTTTATAAGAGATTTAAATATATTGTTTATCATATTAACAAAATTATTATCAAGTAATATGATATTAAACTATAAAACTAAACTAATATTGATAACAATATTTGGCTGATACATAATGTTCGGACAAACCATTTCAATAGCTCGTTACATCTCCTTCTGCCTCACTAATAGCATAAATATTCTGGCTTGCAAAGTTTTTAAAAGGTTCTCGCAGTCTTCCGCCTTAAAAGAATCCCATATATGTATTTTGTAATTTTACTGGTAAATCTGAAATGCTTTATTGTGGACCATTTCTTAACTGCTGCTTCATTTTGTGTCATACAGTTTCGATAATATTTAAATCAGGATTGCTGGCCAGTCAATGACGGAAATATTATTAACCTGCAACCATTTTTGGTGGTTTTGACCGTATGACACGACGCCCCATCTTGTTGAAAAATAAAGTTTCTACCAGGTGATAAAATTGGAACTGACACTAGCCAATTACTTTCAAGGATATTTTGATATTTAGCTGCGTTTATAGTTCCGTCCATGAAGTGAAGTTTTCCAACGCCAAAAGCAGATATGCTTTCCCATACCATTTCGCCTTTTCTTTTGTTTTTCCGTAAGCAATGGCTCTTCTTTTGCCTAAAGCAATAATTTACTGAATAAACATGCCATATGTCCCTTAAATGTAACCAAAATATAAACCAGACTTATGAATCCACCGACTGCACGTTTCTCGTGAAACATTTCCTGCTGTTTCTTCATTCCATTTTGCTGTTATGTCCCTTACAGTACTTCCATGAACAAGAAATCTTTGCATTCCAGGACTGAACTTAGATGGCCTACGAACGTCTTGAAATTTGACTTGAGCCTGTGTCTACACACTTTTTTACAATATCTGCCACCGTAGACTTTGCGACATTTATTTGTTTAGCGGAAAAGTCTTTCCTTGATGAAACAATTTTATGATTAAAACTCTGATTGCATCGTTGGTTGCTTTACCACCCAAAATTTTAAAGCAAACTGATTCACAGTATTGATTCTTAAATCAAAACGTCAAATTGTAAACAGTTTTTTGTTGTTGCGTTGTTATCAATATTAGTTTGATTTTATATTTCAATATCACATTACTTCAAAACAGTTTTGTTAATATGATGTTCAAACAATATATTCATGATCTTATAAAAGAACAATTAATTTTTAACCTTACAAAAATGAACAAACTTTTAGATAAAATTAGATAATGTTCGAACATGGTTGTCCTAGGGCTCGTAAAGTGAATTGAAAATATTAAGAAAAAACCTCTATATCTTTTTGTACGAAAATTTATTTTTGAACTTTCGCTAGAGGTTCCCCCACCCCTAATAAAATAACTTTTTCCAGGAATTATTAAAACAAGTTTAGTTTATCCTATGTGGGAATTGACTCTCTATCCCATACCAAAATGTTACATTTTCCTGTAGTCTCTATAATGGCAATGGCAAAGAATCTAGCAAATTCAAGACACCATACAATATGACACAAAGGCTGTAAGGTTTGAAAACAGAAAACCTTTGGTTAAATCAAAACAAGAGTCATAAGCTAATCCTACTATAAACACGATTAAATATTGAAGAACACTTACTGGATTATAGAATTATGATATAGCAGACGATTTTAATATAATATATAAAGAGCAAATATAGTCTGATCATAGATGAAAATTCCACTGGTTTGCGAAATAATTATTGTAAAGCTTGGTTTTATTCATGCAAATTGTTGAAGACTAAGACCACCTGCATGTGCTTTTTGAAGAAATATAATTCCCTGGACCTTTTTGATAAAAGTTTTAATATAGTATATGTTTGTTGTGTACCATTAAAATGACTTCATGTTCAAAGTGTTGGAAAACAAACTCGAGAAAGCGAAAAAACAATAGGCAAATATAAACTAATTGTAACGATATGACCATCTGGAAAATTGCAATACAATTGCAAAATACAATATTTAAAGTTTCAGTGTTATATTTTGTATAGTTTTCAAGATTATTCTAATTGTTTATAACATATTTGACGGCATTTCCAGGTCAAATATAGCGGTATAAAGATCCAGTAGCCCAAGACACGTCATGGTGTAGTAAAAAGAGTTTTTTTTAATTCGGTAAAACAAATGCTTTTACAGATTATGTGCACTTTTATTATCATCAAACAGCTTTTCGCACGCCATAGACAATGTAAGTTTTCATATACGAAACCGGCGGTATACGTATGATTCTTTGTATGATTGCATCAAAAAAATTAAACATCCGAAATTTCGTTTGTAATAATATGCTCAAATGTTCGATACGTGGTCAAAGGAAGTACCTCTTGGAGCTGCAGAGGATGTTCATAAAATTAAGTGGGCTCACACACAATTTTTACGAATATTTGTCTTTAACTTTCATGTTGTGTTAGGGCATCCACTTTTCCATTAATCCTGAAAGGGGGATTACCTTTGCCTTAGCTGCCATAATACTAAAATACAAACTCTGCTGTTTATGAAAAGAGCATCTACTATCAACAGTAACTTGATAAATACATCATCTAAGACATGCTATACCTTATTGATTTGAATCCGTTAACTTGAATTTGATTTTTTGTCTGATACGCCTGTCTGCGGTATGGACGACGATATGTCCTAAACGTCTTAACTTTTGAGCTACAGGGTGTTGAAATTTTAAGAAAAAATTCGTTTTCTTATCGTAACTTTAATACTGTTCTAGATATTTTCATGAAATTTGACATGTACCTTCTAAGAACCAATAGGCATTTTTTGATGTAAAATATTTTTTTAATATTTCTATCAGTGGCGTCCGTATACTGGAGATTTAAAAAAAAAATATGGTACGCCAATCATTTTGCAACAAATTTGACCTCCTGACTTTCTTCCGTCCGATGCACCGTTTTCGCGTAAAATATTTTGGCTATTTTAATCAATTGACTTTACTTGAATAAAAATTAAACAAAAACACAACTTACCTATAAACTACCACATGATATTTTAGCGTTTTTGCCATTCATAGAAATTAAAAAAAAGTTTGCAACAAGTTTTGACAATAAACTAAAACTATTTAATTTATCACAAGAATTGTAGAAAATAGAATAACGCTTCAATTCTCCTTCTTATGGATTGGCGAACCCTTTCAAAAATTCCAGGAGTATTTCTTATGGTTTGACAAGAAAGTAAAATTTTCTGCTTTAGATTCTCTACAGTTTGAACCTGTGTATTATAAACTAAAGTCTTAAGATGCCCCCACAAGTAATAGTCTATTAATTACTATTTAAATCAGGAGTCCTGGGAGGCCAAGATTGAATTCCCTCTCGACATATCCAGCGATTCGTAAGCGCTTCTTTTAAAAATCCTAGTATGAATGCTAAAATGTGCAGGAGCACCATCACGCATGTACCATATTTCTTCTCTTAATAAAAGAGGTACATCCACGAGAAAAATTGGTAAATCGTTTTCAAGCAAGTGGAGATCGGATAGTCTATCCAGTCGTCCTGGGAGGAAGAACGTGCAACGAGGAAATCTCCAACTATTCCAGCCCAAGCAATATATGATTATTATGGAAATTTCGAGTGGAATTGCAAAAAAACTAGCTTCATCAGAAAAGAGTATTTTGATATCAAATAGAGTGTTTTCGGCAAGTTTTTTCTAAGGACCATCGGCATAAATTTAAACGCAATGGAAAATCACGCGGCAGTAGTGCTTGAACTTTTCGAATATGACAAGGGTATAGTAAATTATCAACAAGCATTTCCCAAATAAGAAAATTACACATTACCGCAATTTTCCTAGTACTTGCTTCTGGGTGTTCTTCGATTATGTTTAAAACAGCTTCCTCTAATTCTGGTGTTCTGACTGTGCGTTTTGCTCTTTGGAACTTTTGTCAATGCTAAGACTACCAGTTTCATGTAGACTTCTGTGTATTCTAGAAAACATTCTGGCATTGGGAATGTTACGATTTGATATATACGCCTAGCCACAGGCACATTCCCGTCAGCAGGCCCGTAGGTAAAATGCATATCTCCTAACTCAGAAATTGTAAATCTTGGCATAGCTTACTTATTTTCTCTTTCACGATGTAAAAAACTATCACGTTTATGAATACTTGGCAAAATAAGACCGCAACGAAATCAATCAAATGTCATTATACAGTATAAAACAAAATAGGGCACCAGCCTACTAGTTCAAAATAATTTCGTTATACCACAAATGCATGAAAATGGTTTTTATTTTTCACGCGAAAGCGGTACATCGGACGGAAAAAAGTCGAGGTCAAATTTATTGCAAAATAAATGAGTATTTCAATTTTTTTTTAAGCAATGGCATACCATATTTTTTTGAAAAATCTCCAGTATACGTTAGAACGCCACTGGTAGAAATATTAAAAAATATCCTACATCAAAAAGTGCTTGTTGGTGCTTAGTATTTGCATGTCAAATTTTATGAAACATCTAGAACAGCATTAAAGTTATGATAAGAAAACGATTTTTTAGGACATATGTTCATATAATGGGACCTCGGTTGGTCGCGTGGGTCAGAGTGTCGTGCTACTGATCAGCCGGCCGGCCGGGCCGCGAGTTCGAATCTCGCCTTCGCCATGGATGTTGTGTGTTTGTTTTAGGCAGCAGCGGTGGCCGCAGTAGTAGACTCTTCGGTCTCCTGATCAGTCGCCGTGCGCTGTGCGGGTTCGAGTCCCGTCCCAGGAGAAATTTTTCTCTTGGCTATGGATGTTGTGATTGTCCGTAGGTGGTAGATGGTCTCTGACTGTCGAACGCGGAGGTACCACCCGGCGGTTCTCGTAGGCGGAGCCAGAATGTGTGCATGTTGCATGCACACGTGTTCCCTCGCCAGAGTCCGTGTGGCGTCCCCCCTTTTCCCATGTATCCCCCTATAGCCCCACGGTACCCAATGGGTGCTTAGGCCTTAGGCCTTCGTGGTAGTTGGAGTATAAAAAAAAATATATAAACTGTTCTTCCTAAAATGAGCTAAGGAATCAATTAAATTACACCCTGCATTTATTTATGTAATGATAAACCTCACATATTTAATTAAGGCGACACATAATAGGTATTCTTAGTAGCATGCAAACGCACAAAATTCCAATATAGCGTCCATATGAACAAATAAAGAAGAAACCTCAAATTAAAAGTGGCAATAACAACATGCAATTTATTTCGAAATAAAACTCAGCCAGGAAAAAATAAAAATAATTTTGTGAAATCCGATATAGGAAACAAATCAAGGACTACATAGGAAATTATAAATTTTGGCAATGTCAAGGTATGACACGTTATACATTCTTGATATCAAAATTAAAAACTCTATTCATCGATGCAGAATCCAAAATGGCGTATATAAGAAAAATTAAGTTGATGCAGAAGGACAATAGACGAAACGTCATATTGAAATTCCGATTATGCCATCTTGTAGCAGAGAAAAAGTGGCAATCCCAACACAAATAAAGTCATAAAAAAATAAAACGATTTATGAAAAATTCAGTTTTTTCCGTCTCTCTCCGCAAGGACTTTGCATTTTGAAACTTTCTAAGCGGCATTTTGTTAGTTACCTAAATACGCAACTGTTCTCCAATTCAAGCGACTTCGTATCTGTTATCGTTTCCGAGATCCAATGATGAGGGTTGAATTTGAAACACCCGGTATAAAAGTAGCGAATGTTTGCGATTACTAATATTATTTTATTTATTTATTAATTAAGATAAATAAAATACCTTGTATAAAGAGAACTTTTTCTCTCCAATGCCTATGCCAATATTTTCAAAAAATATTGCAGTATTCCTATAACCTATAACTATAACATCACATAATGAGAATTTATGGAGCTGTTATTAATATCACATGACGGCTAAAAGCATTCAACATTCTAGAATTTTAACTAGCACATGTAGAAACTGCCCATAACACTTTGGCATAAAAATAAATAAATATTGAAACCAACCAATTTTTAAAAAGTAAATGCCACAAGCAAGTATTCACATGCTATGAGAGTTAGTGCTTATTTTCTAACTCCGAAGGTTTACATTTTGTTTAATTGGATTCATTAGTTGAGACAACACATATTCAATTACCGTAAATGTATTTCCTTGATATTTCACAAATATAAGCAAACACTTATTTTTGTTCAATTGACTCATATTAGAAATTCAAATATGAATCTTCTCCCTATTCTAATACAAAAATATTTTGGGATGATCAAATCTTGACATAAACTGAAAAGGGTATAACAGACCCATGTTTCAATCTGCAAATGTTGAAGGTTGAATCTACTGAAAACTTTAATAACCAGGTAACCCTAGTCATATCTAAAACAAAGTATTACCTGAGATTATGTCTCGGATGAACCGCAGTTTCATGTCTACAGGCTACAATTATAGATGTAAGCTCCTTTTTGAATTTCTCTGCATCTTGCCTCAAGCAATATACGTCAACAGATGTAGCCTTTATTTTGCTGATTATATCGTCTACTTCTGTTGAGAGTTTCTGTACCTCCGCACTGCCAGTTAATGGATGAAATAAGTAAATAAGCATATAAACAGACAAGCTACACTTTAGTAGTGTGATTCAGTATACTTTAAATACATTTATGAATACTGAATGACAAAATAAAATACGCTGAATCGTTTGAACAAAAAAAAAACAAGTTTTTGCGATAAACAATTAGAAATTTTCAAAAACTACTTGAATAATCTATTTCAATTTTGTTGTGGTTATTTAGAAGTACGGATTTGAACAATTCCAAGTATCTGCGTGAAATTATCGTCGCATTACCTACAAGTGCCAAGTGCTGCATTTCGCCTAGGTTTTCGGCCATAACTTTTTTGCTATTATTCGGATCTTTTCACGTGTCGTCTAATTTTGAGATACAAATACTCTAATATACCTTGCACGCAATGTTAATGAATGCAGCTATTTTGGTCAGGACTGGTCCATTCAAGTAGAGTAAGGTGCAAATGTGTTCCTTCTTTAAACATTAAAAGCCGCTTTCCAACATTATCATCATTATTGATATATTCAAGAACGATAAATAAAGAAACAGCTATACTAAACATTACTTATTTCTCATCTGTTTGCATACATTTCGAAAATATAAAAATCTGCTGTCAAACTGGCATAATCAAGTTGACAGGTTACAATTAGGGAAACATTGAGCCGTATTCATACAGCAAAGGATAGACTTGTACTTGCAAATTTTGAACAAAATCCTCCAGATGGTATTTATAATAATTTGAAGTAAATGCTTTTGCTTTTTGAGTATAAGCATATCATTCCAAGCAGTGACATAAGTAAAAGGATATTCATAATCTTCACCTTGTACTTGGCAAGGGAAGCATATCCTTAAAAAATTTTGAGTGTGGTCAGTAGCAGACTCAACTTCGTAACGAAAGGTGGTCAAACGATGATGGCGGAAATTGTGGATGTTAGGGATGTTAAAACGTACAAACCTCGTTTACCGTCACTTGGTCGTGACTTCAAAAAATTATATCGGTTCGACGAAGCAAATGTACAATGGCTTGTGGACAGGTTTTTAGTTGAGAATGAGGAAACTAGAGGAGGAGCACTTTCATGTATTCATAAAATGATATGTCTACGCTATCTCAGTGACCCTGGATATCAACAAGGTATTGGTCAGGAACTTGGTCTTAGTCAAACAACGGTATCTCGGATAGAGTTGTGAACAATATAGTTGCACAGTCGAACGAATGGATCAAGTTTCCCAACTACCAACCATGAACTGATGGAGGCCAAGCGGATATGGCAAAGCATGTATAAATTTCCGACAGCAATTGGTGTAATTGATTGTACACATATAGAAATCCTACAACCAAATCGCCATGGAGATGAGTATATCAACCCAAAAGGGAAACCTACTTTAAATGTGCAAGCCACTTGTGATGCCAGAGAGATGTTCACAAGTGTTCTGTGACTAGATCACAACTAATAAATAAAGCAAATGTACTACTTGGCGATGACGGTTATGGTATTGAGCCATGCCTTATGACTCCCTTCAAAAATCATACTCCAGGTGCAGAAATAAATTATAATAAGGTTTTAAAACAAGAAAGTTATAATTGAACGCTGTTTCGGCCAACTGAAACGCCGGTTTCCTATCCTACAGTATGTTTGCCGCGTAAAGTTGGAAAATGTTCCGAAAATAATTATTGCTTGTATTGTACTCCATAATGTTGCGAAGAGCTTGGACGATCCTAACTTTGCGTTAGTTGAACAAGACCCAGATGAAGATAAAGGAAATCATGAGAATGACGAACTTCCTCTCCGCCAAATAGGTCAACAAATAAGAAGAAACTTGCGTATTATAATAAATAGTTTTACTGATTAAAGTGTATTTATAAGTTATATTAAGTTTTATTTTCGTGAACATCATAAGTTACAGGTGGCTTCTGACGCTGCATCACTTCTAATTTCGTTTTATAATACTCTTATTGTAAAATACTTGTTTTATACTGCTGTAATAGCACTAGACGTTGCAGTTCTTTTGTAGTTAACCCTTTGGTTTCCTCAGTTTCGTATTTCTCTGTTGCTAATATTCTTTTTGGTGGCAGTGTCTTCTGAATTGGTGGCGCTGTAATACTGTTTGCTCACTGCACTCGGTATATAGTTCACTTCCTTCTTCTTGAACATTACCAACCTGAATGGCACCTCTAATTTTCCCAATTGTTGGATTGCAGTCACCTTCCATAGCTTTCAGCAACTTTCTTTCCCAATCTAACAATTTGATTGCTTTATTACCTGTTTTTTAGATCTGTTTTTTCTTCAATCTTGATTTCATGTTGTTGATTTTTTTTTTAAAAAAGTCTTCAGTATCTAATGGTTTACCGAATGTTGATTCGTATTTTCTCAACATCTTCAAGACATTGTCCTTTCTTATTTTTGTTTTTGGAAGTTGTGACTTTTGCAAAATAATGGGAGCAATGGCCATTTCATCTGCTATGAACTGCAGGTCGTTGCCATTATTTTCTATAGTTTCCTCATCACTTGAGGATGACATGCTTATTAATTTGATAAAAAACTGTATCCAGTAAAAATACGGAACGGTCTATGTAAGCTCTGGAGTACAACTGTCAGTGATGCTTAGTGAACGACCTCCCACATCTACTACAAGCTGGAACAAGTCAGGACATGTCGCTCGAGATACAAATACCAGACAACTTCTTGGAGGACATCCTCGCGAGTATAAGGTAATCATTATTAATATGAAAACAAGGATATGCTTATACTTCTACCTTTTTCTCCGAAGCAAGATCTTATACTTTTACCTTACGCTTCCGAAGATATGCTTCTCTTTTATGAATACGGCTCAATGTCTGAACTATTTTGTGTTAGGGCTCGTAATATGCATCTAATACATAATGAGCCGTATTCATAAAAGAGAAGCATATGGTAAAAGTATAAGGTCTTGCTTCGGAGAAAAAGGTAGAAGTATAAGCATATCCTTGTTTTCATATTCATAATGATTACCTTATACTCGCGAGGATATCCTCCAAGAAGAAGTAAAAGGTTGACTGGCATTTGTATCTTGAGCGACATTAGCAACAGAGAAATACGAAACTGAGGAAACCAAAGGGTTCAACTCAAAGTCAGGATCGCCCAAGCTCTTCGCAACATTATGGAGTACAATACAAGCTATAATTATTTTCGGCACATTTTCCAACTTTACGCGGCAAACATACTGTAGGATAGGAAACCGGCGTTTCAGTTGGCCGAAACAGCGTTCAATTATAACTCTTTCTTGTTTTAAAAGCTTATTACAATTTATTTCTGCACCTGGAGTAGGATTTCTGAAGGGATTCATAAGGCACGGCTCAAGACCATAACTGTCATCGCCAAGTAGTACAACATTTGCTTTATTTATTAGTTGTGATCTAGTCTGTGAATTTCTCCATATTCTGGAATCATGCACTAATCCAGGCCAACTGACATCAACACTTGTGAACATCTCTCTGGCATCACAAGTGGCTTGCACATTTAAAGTAGGTTTCCCTTTTCGGTTGATAAACTCATCTCCATGGCCATTTGGTTCCAGGATTCCTATATGTATACAATCAATTACACCAATTGCTGTCGGAAATTTATTCATGCTTTGCCATATCCACTTGGCTTCCATCAGTTCATGGTTGGTAGTTGGCAACTTGATCCATTCGTTTGACTGTGCAACTATGCTGTTCACAACTCTATCCACAGTCCGAGATACTGTTGCTTGACTAACACCAAGTCCTGACCAATACCTTGTTGATATCCAGGGTCACCGAGATAGCGTAGACATATCTTCATTTTATGAATACATGAAAGTGCTCCTAATCGAGTTTCCTCATTCTCAACTAAAAATCTGTCCGCAAGCCATTGTACATTTGCTTCGTCGATCCGATATAGTTTTTTTAAGTCACGATCAAGTGAAGGTAGACGAGGTTTGTACGTTTTAACATCAACAATTTCCGCCATCATCGTTTGACCACCTTTCGTTACAAAGTTGAGTCTGCTACTGACCACACTCAGAATTTTTTAAGGATATGCTTCCTATGCCAACTATAAGGTGAAGATTATGAATATCCTTTTACTTATGTCACTGCTTTAAAGGAAATGCTTATACTCAAAAAGCAAAAGCATTTACTTCAAATTATTATAAATACCATCTGGAGGATTTCCTTCAAAATTTGCAAGTACAAGGATATCCTTTGTTGTATGAATAGGGCTCATCTAATTTTATCTTAAAGTTTGTTTATTTTTTAAGGTTACAAAATCATTTGCTTCTTTTATAAGAGATTGAAATATATTGTTTGGACATCATATTAACAAAATTATTATCAAGTAATATGATATTAAACTATAAAACTAAACTAATATTGATAACAATATTTGGCTTATACATAATGTTCGGACGAACCATTTCAATAGCTCGTTACATCTCCTTTTGCCTCAATAGTAGCATAAATATTCTGGCTTGCAAAGTTTTTGCAAAGTTCTCGCAGTCTTCCGCCTTAAAAGAATCCCATATATGTATTTTGTAAATTTACTGGTAATTCGGAATTGCTTTATTGTGGATAATTTCTTAACTGCTGATTCATTTTGTGTCATACAGTTTCGGTAATATTTAAATCAGGACTACTGGAAGGCCAGTGAATGACGGAAATATTATTAACCTGCAACTATTTTTGGTGGTTTTGGCCATATGACATGACGCCCCATCTTGTTGAAAAATAAAGTTTCTACCAGGTGATAAAATTGGAACTGACACTAGCCAATTACTTTCAAGGATATTTAGATATTTAGCTGCGTTTACAGTTCCGTCCATGAAGTGAAGTTTTCCAACGCCAAAAGCAGATATGCTTTCCCATACCATTTCGCCTTTTCTTTTGCTTTTCCGTAAGCAATGGCTCTTCTTTTGCCTAAAGCAAATAATTTACTGAATAAACATGCCATATGTCCCGTAAATGCAACCAAAATATAAACCAGACTTATGAATCCACCGACGGCGCGTTTCTCGTGAAACATTTCCTGCTGTTTCTTCATTCCATTTTGCTGTTATGTCCCTTACAGTACTTCCACGAACAAGAAATCTTTGCATTCTAGGACTGATCTTAGATGGCTTACGAACGCCTTGAAATTTGACTTGAACCTGTGTCTACATACTTTTTTACAATATCTGCCACCGTAGACTTTGCGACATTTATTTGTTTAGCAATATCCGGAAAACTCTTTCCATGATGAAACAATTCTATGATTAAAACTCTGATTGCATCATTTGTTGCTTTACCACCTGACATTTTAAAGCAAATTGATTCACAGAATTGATTCTTAAATCAAAACGTGAAAATGTAAACAGTTTTTTGTTGTTGCATTGTTATCAATATTAGTGTGATTTTATATTTCAATATCATATTACTTGAAAACAGTTTTGTTAATATGATGTTCAAACAATATATTCAAGGTCTTATAAAAGAAAAACAATTAATTTTTAACCTTACAAAAAAGAACAAACTTTTAGATAAAATTAGATAATGTTCGAACATGTTTGTGTTAAGACTTCATAAAGTGAATTGAAAATATTAAGAAAAAACATCTGTCTTTATGAAAATTTATTTTTGAACTTTCCCTTGAGCTTCCTCCACTCCTAATAATATAACTTTTTCCAGGAATTAAAAAACAAGTTTAGTTTATCCTTTGTGGGAATTGACTCTCTATCCCATACCAAAATGTTACATTTTCCTGTAGTCTCTATAATGGTAATGGCAAAGAATCTAGCAAATTCAAGACACCATACAATATGACACAAAGGCTGTAAGGTTTGCAAACAGAAAACATTTGGTTAAATCAAAACACAAGAGTCATAAGCTAATCCTACTATAAACACGATTAAATATTTAAGAACACTAATATAGTCTAATCATATTAGGTGAAATTCCACTGGTTTGCGAAATAATTATTGTAAAGCTTGGTTTTATTCATGCAAATTGTTCAAGACTAAGACCACCTACATGTGCTGATATTGATGGCAACACAATTGGAAAATACAATATTTAAAGGTTCAACATTATATCTTGTATGGTTTTCAAGATTATACTAATTGTTTATAACATATTTGACGGCATTTTCAGGTCAAATATAGTGGTATAAAGATCCAGTAGCCCAAGACACGTCATGGTGTAGTGCAAAGATTTTTTTTTAATTCAGTAAAACAAAGACTTTTACACATTATGTGCACTTTTATTATGATCAAACAGCTTTTCGCACGCCATAGACAATGTGTGAAATACGAAACCGGCGGTATTCATATGATTCTTTGTATGATTGCATCAAAAAACTGAAACATCAGAAATTTCGTTTGTGATAATATGCTCAAGTGTTCGATACATGGTCAAAGGAGGTACCTCTTGGAGCTGCAGAGGATGTTCATAAAATTAAGTGGGCTCACACACAGTTTTTACGAATTTCAATGTCTTTAACTTTTATGTTGTGTTAGGGCATCCACTTTTCCATCAATCCTGAAAGGGGGATTACCTTTGCTTTAGCTGCCATAATACTGAAATACAAACTATGCTGTTGATGAAAAGACCATCTACTATCAACAGTAACTTGATAAATACATCACCTAAGATATATGTCTTCAAAGATTATCATGGTATTTCTGAAATTACATCTAAGTAATGTAAAAAAATTTATAAAGAATCATACATACGCTGCTGGTTTTCTATTAATTTGCGAACTTACATTGTCTATGGCGTGTGAAAAGCTGTTTGATAACAATAAAAGTACACATAATGCAAAAAACATTTATTATAATACCAAATTAGTAAAAAAAGAAATCGATAGCATAGAAACTATGGTTTGTGGATTCCAACCTGCGTCCTGCGGTTCTTTAAGGTTTATCTACAACTGGTAACCAAGAATGTAACTTCATTTTAAGGGGGGTCTTCTATGTAATTCTCTAGAAAAGCTAAGTATGTGTTTGTATTCAAACGTTGTGGCAATATGTGCATTTAAACGGTTGGCCATTGAAAATGCTGCACCAGACATTTCTAGAAAATCTGTGTTGAAACTCACAATTACTCACAAATACAAAATGTTTGAATTTGTTTATAAGAAAAAAACATAGCCTTTGTTATTGCATAAAAATAACATTCATCTTATGAAACAGTTTGTGATGCATATCAGAGAGGTATACCAGTGTATTTTGCTGAACGTACCTGTATATTGTTCAATAAACTACAGTAGTGATGACCAGAGAACTGGTGCTTTGAGATGCACAATTAGAAATTCTCAAAAACTACTTGACCAACTGACTGCAATTTTATTGTGGTTATTTACGAGTATGACACCTATGAATTTGAGGAATTTCAAGTATCTGCGTGACTATCGTCGCGTTACCAACAAGCGCAACCTGCATTTTGACTAGGTTTTCAGCCATACCTTCTTTACTTTTAACCACATCCTCTATGTATGGTCTCATTCTGTTAGTGTCTTAAGTACTCAGAAATCTTATTAGAAGAGTTTTTTCGTTCGTACCAAAACTTTCGATTGAATCCCAAAAATCAAATCTCATTATTTGCTGATGAACACAATTTTCCCACAAAAATTATCATACCCACTTTACCTGTATCAATAAAACCAAACATTAAAATTATTTCGGGGACATTTGCTAATATGATTAGACTAATGAGTAAACACCATTGGAAAACTGCATAGTGACGGGGTTAGGCCCGTATCGTCAGTCGTCCCTACAATTGTAGGGCGCGTTTATGGCCTCAAAAATTTCTTGATTACACTTGTCCCGTGTCAGCGCTCTCCTATTGTGGAGATATGTTTTCTTTTTAAATTGTAGGAAATTTCAGGCTGATAAAACATGATATAACTCAAAAGCAAGCACAATTTGGTGCAAATAGATGTTTGTGACATAACCTCGAAATAGAGTTCTGACACGGAGAAGTAGAAAACTATGACAATCAAGGAGGCCATAAAGGCGCCCTACAATTGTGGGGACGACTGACGATACGGGCCTTAGAACTGAACACAGTACTATGGGAGTAATAGATGGGATCCCACCAGCAATAAAAGACTTGTTTGGCGCTGTAGTAATTACTACTTATGTTTGAAGCTACATGTTCAACCGATGTGGATTTTGAAAGAATTATCTTACCATCTGCAATTCATCGTATATTCAAGAACTTTTAAAACTCAATTTAAGCACCAAACGACCAAACTTTTGCCACAAAACACATATAATAGAAGTAAACAAAACTGACTTTTCTGACAACATACCTAAGCCCACAAAACACATAAGACTGTAGCAGTGGCAGCTGCTGCACGTTAAACAATGGCAACACCGTTGACGTTTTGTCAGATGGTTGCGCCATCCTACTTGCCTGGAGATCTGCAGGAACTATCGAAGGAATTCAAAGAATGCGCCGAGAGATTAGGAATGTAGGAATGTGCCGAGGATTTTAGTTTATTTACAATTTTAAAGTTTGTTGAAAGTGATATTTCCCATATTGAAGAAATATTTTATGAACATAGACGCATTCCTGATTCAGCAGTTTTGCTGGTAACCAATTTTGAGATAATAAAAAAATAAATGCATAATTAATAAAATATTTATTAAATAGTTAAATATATGAATAGTAATAAGTAATAATTTAGCGTCACAGTACATTGACAATATACAGGGTGTCCGCAAAGTTGGGGTTTTCCTTTACACGACGTGTAGATCTTGAAAACATAAGCAATTTTTCTTAGTACCATATACACCAATGTCTTAAGGGAACCAAGATAAAGGGCTCTGCAACATCAAAAATATCTGAATACCGTCCTGTAGCCGCGACCCGCGACATCACCGAGTGGTACAAGGTCACTGGCTCAACCCGACGACAGAACTGGGTCGGGGTCAGTGTGTCAGGTCAGTATGCAACCTTCAACCGACGGTTACTGTCACGCGTGTAGAGGTAAACGAACCCGTATAATCGATTGCGTTTAAAAAAAATAATAATGGCACACGCATACACCAATAATGAACTCGTTGATATGTTGTTAATTTATGGCGAATGTCTTCAAAATGCTAAAGAGGCTTCGCGAGTGTATGCAGATCGTTTCCCTAGACATCATCCAAGGCCCCGCAGATTTGTGTACCTGGTCCAGAGAATCAGGGATACGGGCCATTTGGAGGAATTTCGAGGTGGGCACATTGGGAGGCCTAGACAACCACGAATGGTTCAAGTTGAGGAAGAACTACTGAATCGCGTAGACGAGAATACTTCAACAAGCACTAGAGACGTGGCTAGAGAAGTGCATGTATCAAAAACTAAAGTGTGGCAAACGCTGCGTGAAGAGGGGCTGTATCCGTTTCACGTCCAACGTATACAAGCCCTTCAACCTGACGATTTTCCAGCAAGAGTGGTTGTTGCATCAACATGACAATAATCCGGACTTTTTGAAGTGCATATTGGTGACAGACGAATCTACGTTCACGCGTAATGGGGTGAATAACTTTCGCAACACTCATGTTTGGTCGGTAGAAAATCATTTTCAACAAACATTTTCGGTGAATGTTTGGGCTGGCATAGTGAACGGTATGCTCATTGGACCAAATCGATTGGACGGGATGCAATACCTAGACTTTTTACGCAACATTTTGCCTTCCTTGTTAGAAGATGTGCCATTAAGTGTAAGACAATCAATGTGGTTTCTGCACGATGGTGCACCGCTCCATTTTAGACGCGAAGTGCGTGAGTTTTTGAATGAATTATTTCCGAATAGGTGGATCGGACGTGATGGACCCGTAGCGTGGCCTCCGCGATCTCCAGACTTAACACCATGTGATTTTTTTCTTTTGGGAGAAATGAAACGCTCAGTGTACAAAACTGAAGTGCATACGGTTGACAAACTTCGTCTCAGAATTGAACAAGCTGGTGCTTTCATTCGGGGGAGGAACTCCATTCTCAAAGCCTGCACCGATGCTTGGCTACGTCGTGCACGCACCTGTGTTTTTGAATCAAACGGCGATAACTTCGAACAATACCTATAAAGTACGTTTACCTAAAAACTGAAAACGCGGCAACGCCGTCATATTTGTTACCTCTGTTCGTGGTACTTAGCCCTTCTCGTCAACTGAAGAGTGAGTACTTTTTCCTTTATTTTTTTTACTTGGTCGCCCCCGTTTCACTACACATTACCTTTGTTATTTCAAGGGTAGTTGTTTCTGAAAAGGACAACCCCAACTTTGCGGACACCCTGTATAAAGGTATCTTTAAACATCCGGACTTTCTCTATATTATTAAGTGAATAAGTGATGTTTCAAAAAAAATACAAATCATACATTAGCAGCATAAAAAACGATAAAAAAGGGCCCTCAGTAATAAAAGGAAATGTTTAGCAAGCACTACCATCATACGGTATATTTATCACTGAAACGTAAACATTCATACTAAAACAACAAAAAATAAATCTCTTTAGTTAACTAAATAACTGAAATGAAAATATAATCTGAGAAAACTTTATTTTTTATAGTGTAAAAATGAGGAAAATTTTCTTCAAAGAAGGAATCAAAGCTAAACATAAACAAGACATACCTCATACTTAAAACCAAAAGCTCCTGGTGGCTTTAACATTACAGGGAGTAACAAAATAAATAATTATCCCTCGTCCATCTAATCCCTCCCAAGGATGCTGCAACTATGAAACAAAAAAAGTATATTGTTTAGGTATAATATCACAGTAGTATTTGGTTACTGGTAGTAAATAGAAAATTCAATGAATGAAGAGTGCTGGACTACATAAAAAAGCATTACCTGACTTTAGCTGTCTTGAATTTCTTATTTGTTGATATATGACTATTAGTAGTCTCACCACTCCTTTCGAAAGAATTTCTCTTCACATATTTGCTATTGACAAAAGCTGTAACTTTGAAGGATGCAGGAATACTTCCATTTAAATTTAACTTCCAGTTGGTCTTCTGTACCATGCTGCTCCAAAAATGCATACAGCTTTTCGTCCAGGAGACCAATCGTTAATTAAATCTTCACTTGCATACTTCAATCGCTTTTCCTCATCATGCTCTTTAAATGTCACAAACAGATGTTTTTCAGTGACAACCAAAGAAAATAACCCTGCACCGGATTCACAATGACAATTACTATCAATTTTGAGTCTGTTCAAAATGTACCCAGCCACATAACCATTTGAAGGATTCCATTATTTCCATGTCAGAGTCACTTAGAATCTCAGGGTCTAAAACAAGCACTCTATCATTACTTTGGTCATATTTATCCAAAAAGTTACTGAAATCGACCAAAGTATCACAAAAATCGATTTCACAATTACCTTTAGAAAAAGGTGTGCTGAAATTATCAATAACTACTGTTTTTAAGGCAGCAACAACTAATGACAGGTGGGATTTGTATTTATTTATTTATTTATTTATTTCCAACAGGTGAAACCCAATTACAGGAAACGCTGAAAAATATAACAATTAAAGAGACATGGTTCTTGGACTTAAATATATAGTATCACACATTCTAAATAAGATTGGATGATCTATAGCAGTTAATAATCGATGCACAACTGTCACTGTAAATATCACACGATTCAGTAACACTGTTCATGATGCAGCACATGAGATTAATTGGCGATTTTGTCATAACATTTGTACGGCCAGCTTGACAATAGAATGCCGTTTGTTGTCGACTCCCTAGCCTTGGAACGCGGAAACATATTTTTTCAAGTAGATTTTGACAGTCAATTTTATTGTGAATGAGGCCATACAAAAACGACAAAGCAAATTGAAGATACCATGCTGTCTTACTTGACCAAATTAATTTTCAAGGGAATCTTGATTTAAATTTCTCAAACAAAGATATTTCAAGCACTTCTCCTTAAGATCTTTCCATAGTGACATAATAGATGTAATTGTTATTTGCCAGCCTTCAACAAATTGAAATAGTTTGATTTGTCAACCCCAGCGACAATGAAAATTGATTTTAATTTGGATAGCCTTAAGCCTCTGGTGGACTTTATACATAATCGATTCCTTAGGGAGTAATTCCTTCTTTGATGTACCAGATTTTGTTAATATGCCAGAGCCCTTCTCTAACACAAAGAATATTTATCTAAATAATTAGATTTTGTTCTAGAACCACTTCAACTGATTTGAATGTTTTGATCTTCCAGAATAACACTGGAATTTTCATTTTGCTCAGAAGGGGTTGGATTTGTAGCCTCTCCAGGAGGGTCATTGAAAAAAATCTAGATACTGAACTGGGACCTGGTTTAGTAGTATGACCAGTATTTGAATTGAAAACTGTATTGGGGGACACTGGTATGGTAAGATATCTGAGACGTGAAGGATCTTGCGGATTATTACGATCAAACATTGAAAAATGATCCTCACAAACATAAGGATTTGAAACTTTACGAGTGGGAGAATATCTTACAAGCTGCCTTCCATGCAGCAAGTTTTTTCATCTTTTGTAAAACGACGGAATACTTTATTTTTGTATATACAAGCAGATTTCGGAACAATGTGGAAACAGGAATTTTTGCATGAGTACTTTAAAGTAGCGATGTACGAAGACGCAACCACAAATCCAGACATGACAGATTTACAAAAGAAAAACAAGCTTATTGAAGTATGCAATCCTAAGTATTCTTGCACACAATTACAGTTGTTTTACATTGAAAAATATATGACAAAGGTTATTATTACTATTATTATATGAAGATTATGAACGATAATTTCTCGATTGGGAATTAAATCAATAATTCAAAATTTAATGTGTAGCTTCAAAACACAGATTGAGAACAAAATGGAAGTTCCCACGTTCCCAGGGAAAGTCAAACTGTTGTTTGTCAAAAATCAAACTCTTTTGGTAAGAAAATGTCCTAGATTTTGCCTGGAGATTTATGTGTTTTGTGCCTGGAGAGAATGACCTTGGTGTTGCCAGTTCGCCCATAAGACGTTTCACCCCCTAAGCCTAACCTACAATTTGACAACGCATAACAGAGCTCAAAAATGTCCTATACAGGGTGTTACAATATTTTGTTCACCGGTATGCGATAAGGTACAAATTAGGCTGACGTCGTACAATGTACGAGTGAAACGTGCAATATGTAAGTAACAGTGCGCTGATGGCAACGCGGCGGGCCCTGGCTGCGTACGTGGCTTCGTTACTGGGGTTGCTAGGCAACACGGTGCATCTACTTCTTTCTTACACACGTATTGCACGCTTCTCGCTCGTACACATTACGACGTCGCGACGGTGGTACATTGTTTTCATTGTATGTATTATTGCATAGCAGCCCGTTCCGTCATTAATTTC